TTATGTTATTATGTTATTATTTATATAGCGCCAACAAATTCTGCAGCGCTTTACAGTAGGTGGACGAACAAATATGTAGTTGTAACAAGACAAGTTGGACACACAGGAACAGAGGGGTTGAGGGCCCCGCTCAATGAGCTTACATGCTAGAGGGAGTGGGGTAAAATGACACAAAAGGTAAGGATAGTGTTAGACTAATGACAGTTGCAAGAGAGGAATCAGTCGGGAGATATTAACAGTTTAATTGATACTCTTTTATGAAGAAGTGGGCTTTTAATGATTTTTTTGAAGGAGTGGAGACTGGGTGAGCATCTAACGGAAGAGTGAAGTGAGTTCCACAGGAACGGTGCAGCCCTCGAGAAGTCTTGAAGGCGAGCATCAGAGGTGGGAGTACGGACAGAAGATAGACGTTGTAACGGATCGCATGGCACCCCGACTGGGTACCTCCGTTGAAGGATGCTCCTAGCGCTTCCTGAGGACTCCAAGCACTCTGGCAGACACCACAATCACCGAACCGGAGAAACAAATAAATTCTCCCAAGCATATGAATGCTGTAGACAGTTGAATAGGAACCATACGAATAGGTTTACACTCCTAGCAGTCAAACTGGAACAGCATACAATAAATCCTCCCTCAATAATGAGACGACACTTCACTTTGAGGGTTAAGCAGGAACTCCCTGTACTGTCACATACAGTCTCTTTTATTCCCAATCCACAAACATAGTACAGCCCACAGGGCGTTACAAAACAACCAATCAATCCGTACAATACACCCAGACACTCCCACACAAAATCCTCCCCTCTGCAGTGATATGATTACTGAACACAATGGGTAATCTCATTATCACCGGCAGAGGAATACAGTTTTTACACAATATTTATAACTTCTAAATTATACATGTCACAAACATAAAACATACATTTTCATAATCAATCCATTCAGGGGAACAACATATTAAAAAATGGCACGAATCAGACCAGGGGTTCAAAAGTTAAGGAAAGTCCTTTGTGACTAAATGAAGCATGGCTTTCTGGCCCAAACCAGTTTCAGAGTCTTCTATCCTGGAGATAATTGAGAAGTAATTCAATTATCTCCCAGGACAGACACAAGACTCCATTATGCACATGGTGAGCACAAAGCATTAAAATATTATAAAATACACAAAGTCACATTTTATACATAAAACACAGACATGTCACATATCCCCAGATAGCTGGGATCTGAGCGCACAAAACTACCGAATAGCGCTCAGATCCTATTCACACAGTTCAATTGCCATGGAGCCGAAGTCTTTAACTACACGAATGGGCTCCATGGCATAGCTATCTGGGTTAACCCATTCACATAAAGTCTGGTCCATAGTCCAAAGGCAAGAGGCAGGCAAGAAGCCCCCTCCAAGGACACGTGGCGAGGCCAGTTTCGCCACAGACGTAAGTCTTCAGCAGAGCGTAAGGGCCTAGACAGGACATACTTGTGTATTAGGGAGGATATATAGGTTAGAGCAGCATCATATAGAGATTTGAAAGCAAGAACCAGAATTTAAAATTTAGCCCTATATCTTACCAATGCAGGGACTGACAGAAGGGTGACGCACAGGAGGTGCGGGCGGACAGGAAGATGAGCCTCGCCGCCGCATTCATTATGGACTGTAACGGTGCAAGTTGGAAGCACGTAAGACCACTGAGAAGCGGATTACAGTAGTCAAGGCGAGAAAGGACAGTGGAATAGTCGATAATAGTCAGAAAACTAGCCAAGGTCAAGGACACAGAACAAGACACAGCGATAAGGAAAAGCCAAAAGTCAAAGGTACCAGAAATCAGGGAAGTCAAAACAAAACCAAAGTCAAAAACCAGAAAAACACTATCAAGAACACACTCTTGGATAACCATCTAAGGGAAACCACGACAGGGCAATGAGCTTAGGAATAAGTGAGTTTAAATAACCATCTTCAGATACGATTGTCTGCACCTAACCCTTGACCCCAAAATGTGCGTGTGCATCTTTTGTGTGATGTCACACGCACGTCAATGTTGTCTTTACCGCGGACAGACGTGGGACTATATAATTGCATGGGTCTGCAGCGGCCGACGTGCACCAACATGCCGCACAAGCCTGGCATCATGGCAGAAGACCGCCGAGCAGCACTCCCCTCGATCTTCAGATGGTAATTATCTCCGTTTTTTGTCACATGGAGATGAAGAATACATAACCCATAGAAACTTCCCCTGAACATAGACCAGTTCACAAGAGCATGGAATCCCGCAAATCTATGTTCGGAGAAACTTCCCCAGACATAGATTAGTGAACTAGCGACTAAGGCTTATTTTCGGGGAAAGATGGTATCAGGGTTCATCCCTAAAGTGAGAATTTAAACTGAATTTCAACTACATTTCAAATTTCAGGTCAAAATAATCACACTTAATCAAATGTTCTTTGTTTGGCTGGTCTGGCCTCCGATTTGAAATTCACTTTGAAGTCTGTTGTATCAGCTGCAGTGTAAAAAGGGTTAAGGTATGCATGCGTAACACTGTTTCTTGCTTGAAATATAGATTGGAATTGTATATGTGAATGAATATAAGAGAGTAGGCGTATAGATGACATTTTCTCTTGGCATAAAAATAACCCATCATCTGTGTTTGTAGAGAGAGGCAAACAAAGACTGAGGAGATTTTGCAATAAAATCAAGTTATAGTGCTAATCCTGGGAACACAGATTGGGGGTTTATACAATAAACAGTGACTGGCATGTCCTGACAACCTACCTGGGTTTGATATTTTACGGCTCCGTTATAAAAAAAAACACAGTTTTGCATTCAATAATAATTTTTTTAAGGTAAAATGGTTGATAAAAGTAATTAATGGTATCTCCCAGACACAGGCAGCTGACACACAACCCTCCTCCCCCCAAGTTACCCACAATACAATAATGCATCCAGGTCCCAGATAGGACCCCTGCAAATTTAAGGGCAATCGGAAGTACAGAGCCTGAGAAAATGTTGTGTAAAGATCGGGGCTTGTGCTCTGTACATCCCTGCAAACAGTTCCATAGAATCATAGAATCACTTGGTTTAGGCCAGTCGATTCAAACTTCACACCAAAACCAGGCTGCGACCAATCCGGAGAAAGGGCGCATACACGCAGTGACCAATCAACACTCAGGGAGGGGTTACAAGCTAAGCCCTCCAACTCGCATCGACCAATCGGGAGAAAGGGTGCAAACCACTTTGAATGGTAGCTCCCTCTCCCATTGATCGGCATAGACTTCTAGCCAGCGGGACTCTACGGCTTTGAAGCCACCTCATGGCTCCAGAGGGTCGGCTAGGGCTTGCGGCGCTCTCTGATGGATATCTCAACTTAGGTAGCACCAGAGAGAATGCACTTTGGGCGGCTACAAGCCCAGACTCGTAGCTCCTGGGTCGGCGCACATAGGGCAGGCAAGCAAAGTGGCTGGAACACCGAGTGGAACAGGGATAAATGCAGTCTTTTGGGGGACACAGTTTGTGACAATAGCCTTTCGGAGACACAGTTTATTACAATCCAGAATAGGCAGAATTTTTATTTGCAAAGTCCTGGTTCAAGAGGACACAAAATTGAATTTTTTGAAGTGTAGTTGGGGTACCTGAGATTCACATTGTACAGGTATGTCCGGCCCTGACTGTATTAAATATCTGACTAAACTGATTCTGTCTTGTTATCTCGCTAAGGTGTAATTATTCTGATTTGTTTCTGGTCTGTGAAAAAAAAGCTACTGGGATCTTAGAAATATTGCAGACCCATTGGGTCATTCAATTATATTTGACTTACAAAAAAAGTTACATAGCTATTTATAGTTTGTTTTGTTATCCATCTTTGTCTTTAGCTCATTTACTCATTCCAACTCTTTAATGTATAGTAATGTATAAACTTGCTTTACTATATACTGAGCTTTCTTTTCCATAAATAGATTGTATTGTTTTGGGTTCAAATATATTAACAACCAAGAATGAGGTGGTGAGGTTTCAGGGCTTTGCCAGTGACATTTAGGGCCATTACTGGAATAAAAGCTGTATTATTTGGCAAGCATGAATGTGAGAGGATACACACACGTTACATAAACGTGTTCAAGCTGGGGTTATTCAAAGTGACTGCAACCAAACTCAGTGTCAACTTTGCTGTCCAAAAACCACAAGGTCTATCAATCCTATGTAACAGGACAGAAGTAAAAAATGTATAGGACCTTACAGAGGGCAAGCTCAGAGGGACACTATAGTCACCCAAACAACTTTAACTTAATGAAGCAGTTTTGATGTATATATCATGCCCCTGCAGTCTCATAGTTCAATGCTCTGCCATTAAGGAGTTAAATCACTTTGTTTATATAGCTCTAGTCACACCTCTCTGCATGTGACTTGCACAGCCTTCCTAAATTCTTCCCGTGAAGAGTCATCTAAGGTTTATACTTCCTTTATTACAAATTCTATTTATGGTTTCCCTAAGATCAGGACTAGAAGTACTGGAGACAGGTGGACGTGTGTCCAAAAGAGTAACATTCCTGCCAGATACGGGACGCTTGGGAGATGTAAGAATAATGGGAATTACATTACACAGCATTTAAATAGAGATATATAACCTTCACCATGGACTGATCACAACCCTAGCCAGGAGTATTAGGGGGTATTTCTAATTGCTCTATTAGACATTTCTCTCCAAGGAATACCACTCTAAGGACCCCATCCTTCTAAACATGCAGTGCTAATACACCACCTTTATCAATAATCTCCAAGATCTCAGACAGGGATATTAATAGTGAGAAATGCTGATACCAAGATAAAAGAATATTTATTTATAAAATATTTTACCAGGATGGATACATATAGCAATATAGTAAATATATACTTTGTATTCCATTCAGAGGCAGTTGTGCTTTTTAACCCTGCACTCAGCCCTGTCACTGCTCAGAGCAGCAGATCCTCTGAGGTCCATTGCAGCAGAGAGTGGTACCCAGCTAGTGATGATACAGTGTGTTCAGCTGAGGATCCAGCATTATTCAGTCACATCAGAGGTGGGGCTTCTGCAGTCAGTAGGAGGGCTTGAATGAATGCAGGGTAACGCATCAAACTCCCAATCCCAAAATATCAAGCATCTCTGTGCATGTATTGAATTATTTAACAGGAGCATCCATGAGAGCAGAGCCCTTGGAAGTGCTAAAGATTGGTAGTGTTCCCCTGCCTTCCCAGGGATGGATGTTTACAGGAGTGCAGTTTGCCTTGTAATGGGATATTGCATGTAAGAGCTTTACTTTGCAAATACTATCACAGCAGCCAACTGTGGGCAAGGTAAGATTTACAGATATCTTACCCTCTCCCATCCTTCTATCCTGTAAGGGATGACACAATGTTTCCAAACTTCTCTTTAATCAGGCACTTTCTATGTTTAGCAGCACTTGTGTGTGTGTGTGTGTGTGTGTGTGTGTGTGTGTGTGTGAGTGTGTGTGTGTGTGTGTGTGTGTGTGAGTGTGTGTGTGAGTGTGTGTGTGTGTTGTTGTTTTTTCTTTAAAGCTAAAATATATTTATATTATTCTATTTCTTTTAATAAAGGCATTGTTACATAGTATCATAATACATAAATTATTGCATCATATTGTCATATATACAGTTTGTCTAATAATAATTTAATACTACAAATGAGATAAATAAATACACACTCACTATAATGCCAAATACTATTATAAACCCATGTTAATGTATGTATAGTATGCGTGTGTATATTATATATACACACACAATATAACACACGTAACACATACATTAAAATTGGTTTCACAATACGATCTGGCAAAACATGGTGTGTATTTATTTAATTTATATGATTAAACTATTATTGAGTTATTCATATGAATAAATACATGGATCTAATTTAACACTAATCCTCCTGCCTGGTATCCCCATTTTTGGCTCTGGATATACTGTCCCAGCAAAGATGCAGCGACAGGGGATCGGACATACTAAAACAGGGCTTTTACCATAGAATATCACGTTAACCCTGCATGTACTGGAAACTGTTTCAATGCAATGGGAAATCCTGTGGCGCTCGAAAGGTTAAGCGTCATGTTGCCCACTTGCACAAACACTTCCAATGCACCACATTGTATCATTCACTCCTCTGGAACCTAAAGGGTTAATGTGAACTGCAAAGCTTTGCATTGCTGGGAATGGATTCATTATGGCACTGTCTCAGTTTTTATAAGGTCTTGGACTGTGCATTTAACCTCTCACCTGCCAGCGGTAACGCAGGCAATATAAACCAAGCCAAATACTTAAAAACAAAATGCAAAAAAAGAGAGAAAATATTTAAGGATACCAAAAAACGGTCTTATTCAGCTTACGCTGTACTTAACTGCTGGTAAAGCAGAGGATTAAAACAAACTGCAATGCAATTGTTTGCAGACACTTTATGACAATCTAGCTGAGTTGTTTGCAATTTACAAACATATTCTTTTTATGTATTTATTGATATTAAGCGGTTCGATAGGTCAGTTGGTAAGTGTGCCAACTTTGATAGCTGCAGTCCCTTGTAAAATCTCAGGGTCACAAGCTCAGCATCATGGGGACTGGAATTAAATGATGTTCCCCACAACTAGAGAAATCCAAATGTGTTGTTCTTCATAAAATACCCAATAATTATTAGTAAATAATATGTTATCCACAAACAAGAAGAATTTTGCTTGTTGACCTGTAGCGCAGTTATTCTCATTTACCTGGGTTTTATTGCAAACCTATGAAGGCTTCTACAAATACAATCAAATAGTGAGTCTGCTCTGTTACATAACCGCATACATTGTGCATTGTTGCAATTACAGAATGCAGATTTGGCTTGGTACAATCCCAATCCTTAATTCACTACATCTCACTAAACACAGACATCAAGGCTACACAAACAGAACAAAATAAAATAAATAGTATAAACATCGTTTCTTTCCCTGAATTCTCAACTTATATTCAAGATATAAATTTACAAAGTCCATAGAGTGTACTAAACATTTCTGATGCACTAAGATATCCTACAGTGTTTTATTTATTTATTACTGGCATTTATAAAGCGCCAACATATTCCGCAGCGCTGTACAATTGTACAATAAAAAGGAAAATTTATTTGAGGAAACAAAAAAAAAAATCCAGACAGCAGCTAAAGGTAAGCACTAACGTGCTTATAATAGAATTCTCTGATATGAAAATACTTTAATAGAGTCCAGGGTTTTCCCCTTGTACAGCAAGTGTTCCTTTTTGCTTTGTTCAAAACACGTCAGTGTAATATGGTAAAGCAGGACTATTGCAATCTGAAAATGTAGCTCGCTTTCTGAAGCAAATCCCAGGCAACATCTAGCATTTGTCTGTTACACAGCCAGCAAGAATCTAGGTCACGCTTCTCATATAACTGCATAACAAGACTGATAGTGAATTCGCCTGAAGAATTACAAGTAAAGTGTGATAAACCATTAGCAAAGACAAGTACACATTCTAATGCAGTATTAATTGAAGGCAGAGCATAGTCTGTACATCCTAGCCATTCATAAACAAATTCTCCATTAACACAGCAGGAGTTTTAGTTAATTAATACTGGATCTATACAATGGCTCTACGGAGCCATCGATGGCAGACTCGAGTGAGATCGTTTGCTTTAATCGCTTTGAGCTTGAATTTGTAAGCAGCACAAAAACTTCCAAATGGCGGTTTTCATATATGTTTACACACGAACGAGCTATGACGTATGCAATTCGTCGTCCATGCACTTGCTGAGAGTCGCATAGAAGTTTGCCGGGCAAATTAACTGTAAAAAGACGTCACATTGACAAAATCTTATCAAAAGACAATGGCGGATATTTATCAAAGTGTTGTGAGATATGACGGTTTAATTTTGATGTTACCTTTTTCACGTATATTAAAGTGTTCTAAAATTGATCTAAACAGTGAAAGTTATCTTTATTAAATTGGAAGTAAATTCTTCCAATTTTCGTACAAATTTCAACTTTTAGAAGACCCGCAAACTTAAAGTGGTAGAAAAAAGAGAATTAAAACAAAGCATGTCTCTGTTAGAAAACAGATCAGAAAGATTGATAAATCCATTTTGTTGATAGAAAAATGGCAAATATATTCAATAACTATGGTTAAGGTGCAAAAAGAAGCAAAGGACTAAAAAAATGGGAGATTTAGTAAAAGTTTATTGAAAATTACACGTAACATTGAATGTTACTTTGATAAATCACCCCAATGTGTTCTTCCCAGTTCCAAAAGTCAATGGGTGTCTTAGGATAGGTGGATTATATTTATGCCGTGAACCAATTATTAAACACGAGCGAGTTTAGCTGCTGTTTAGTCCCAAGACTGATATGTGCTGGGCATGGAAAACTGTATGGGGTCCTCGGGACCCCCTATTAACCAGGTAGGGCCTGATAACTGATGACTCCCCTTTAACCTGTGTGGCTAATGTAGGCATTGATTTAATATTTTCAAAATATGAAAAAATTTATGAATATATAAAAAAATATCAAAATCGTTTTCAAAATAATAAGTTACTTAAAAGCTTATCCAAAATTATTAAACAGAGGCCATAATGAGCCAAAGTCTTGCTATAACTTTTTATAACGTTTCTGTAACGTTTCTTGCTATAACGTTTAGAACGTTTCTGAGAGCCTTTCTATCCTGATAAACACCCTAAGAAGAAAAATAAAAATACAAAATAGATTCCTACTTCGTGTGACTCCAGAGAAAAGTGATGACTATTACTACTTGCCATGTTTGGAATATGTCATTTAGAACTTACCTGGCCAAGGATAGATTGTGTGAAATATTTCCTGTAGCGCTAATTATGATACTGTCCATTGTTTGTTCATTGGAACCTAAACCAGCCAATCACAGTGCGTGGGAGGGCTAAGACTGAGATATCCAAAATCTCTCTATACCGCGTCCAGCCGTCAGCTCGGAAGCATGGCGTATCTTTGTAAAGTCTCTAATTACATCTCTGCTCTGAGTTTATTTAAATTTTTCATTTCTTATTTTGAGTCTGTCTGTGTTTGAAGACGTACAGGGTGTTGTTTGACGCTGTACGATAATATACATATCAAATTATTTTATTTTATAGTGTTTTTATTTTTATTTATTTTATATAAAGGTTTTGAACTAATTACCCTCTTCCTAATGCTGCTTAGAAATTAAGGCAAGGTGGCAATGCTTTATCCCCTTTTTTAATGTTGTGGCGTCAGGGTATTGGAAATGTGTCTATCTATTGAGGTAAGACCATAGTAGACGGGCATCCCTTGGCCCTGTAATACTGGGAGGGAGCAAAGTATCTCATAGCCGAGAGTTATGTTGATATTACCCCTCTATCCCAAAGGAGAAAGAATGTAAATGTAATGAGAGAGGAGAAAGTCCTATTGTTGACAGTTGCTGTTCTCAGTTCACTGCCCATTTTAGAGACTGTGGCGCATAGGTGTAGCAATATTCCAGGTAAAGACACTTAAAGAACATTCTAACACCATAACCACTGTCGCTCCTAAAGCCTACAATTACCCTGGATGGATTCACATTTGATAATGCAGACGTGTGATTTCTACAACATCTGGGAAGTTGCAGAGGGGTCAAGTTTTGGTGCTGGGAAGAAACCACTTACCACTACAATGACCTACCTGTAAGGGTTTCTTTAAATGACGATATGTGATGTACAAATGTGTGCAGTAATATCTGGGGGGGTTCTTTAAAAATATAATTAATAATATAATATATCATTTTATATATTCTAAAAATAAAGCGGTAAATCCCAGAAGAGTGCCTACACAGCAATTTCCTTAGCTGCACAATATTTATAATTGCCAAAAATCAATAGTTTGCTGCCTAACTGGGATCTCCGAAGCAATTATGCTTTTATGAAGCTTAGCTAACATTAGCTATGGAATCCCATTAACGCAACATTCCAATGTAACGTGGATTCCCTTCTCTGACAATCTGTTATATAGAATGTGTCTGATATAATAATATGTCTGCAACACTTATACTGCAAGGCATGACTTCCCAGAGAAAATATACTTTAATCTGCTCAATGCCAAGCTGTAGAACCATGTATTATAAAGGCTTCCAAAGAGTTAATTTCACACCATTTAGCCGAAATGGAAAAGAGCTAAAGTGTGTCAATGCTTTTTATATTAGCATAGTGATGTGTGGCATTCTGGGAGCTTTGTAAAATCAGCCTTACAGAATTGTTGTGCAGGAGGCATTAAATTAAAATCTTCCACGTGACATGAAGATTTTCATATCCATACATTTGATCACCTCTCTACCAGAAAAAGGAAACTGGTAGCATTCCAGACACAAAGCATGGGCAGAATTGTGTAGTTTGGTTTGCTAAAACAAGGCTATAGTTCAGCCCATGATTGGAGTTGGGCATCAAGGATTTAGAATGACAAGACATCAGATTGAATAGCCAATTCTCACATATGGAAGTATATGTACTTTCACGCCTTTCACGACCACTGCATTCAGTGATGGTATTGGGGGAGGAATAACAACTGCATTAATATAACAGTATCTCTCGGTGCTCTCTTTCGTACAGAGGAGAGAGGACTATGCTGTGAGGGTGCACAGTAGAGAGCTATGTCACTCGGAAAGGATCTCACACCCTTACTAGACCTCCAGCGAAGAAGGTTTATGGAAACCACCATCTTCTGGTGCCATGGCCTCCATTGATACACCCAGATTAAACCACATTAAAGAGATGTACACAGAAGTGAATAGTATATATAGATCCCACCACTAATGTGTTAATGGAGCGCTTTAGATTTTGGACTTACCCCTATGGGTTAATACAATTCTCAGTTTTTAGGAAATGTATTTCAAGATATAATCTGTAACAATAAAGCTAACATGGTGCAATATACTAGTGACACAGAATTTTAAAGAGATTATAGTGGTATAGAGTCACAATGATCTCACTCACATGGGACAGAGCCTCTTTGGATGGGCTCAAGTCACTTAGACATATGTGTACTATGGTGACACCAAACCCCCGGTTTCTTCCTTTTCTTCTTCACAAGTACCTCATAGGTCAGGGAGAGAAGAGGGCAGGGGAACAGGGGAAGCAGAACAGCTTCTAGTGTAATTAATCCCACAGACCAAAAGTACACTTAGGAAAGATGGCTCCTCACCTTTTCAGGAGCCTGGACCTTGCTCCTGGTATATAGGTATATGTGCCTTTAAGGGGGCAGCTACCCTTCTTTTAACAGCAAGATGGAAGATGGTCAACTTGGGTTCTTGTATAAAATGTAATTTATTGAACAAATAAAATACTTAGCATGCAAAATAAAAACGTTCTAAAAATATATATATATATATATAATACAGACAACAAGTCTTCCTCCCGAGACACGTTTTACTGTATCCCCACAGCTTTTCAATACCGATTGCACATGGGGAGTGTAGGCTAGCCCGTCTGTTCTGATCACACAGAAGAAGTACCTCAAATGACAGCAAACTTAATGCTGGCCATGATAGAAATGTGTCCAAACACACAGTATATCGCAGTTTGCTGCATATGGGGCTGCATAGCCGCCCACCAGTCAGAGTGACCATGATGACCCTGTCCACCTCCAAAAAGCCTTTAATGGGCATGTGAAGGTCAAACCTGAACCATGGAACAATGGAAGAAGGTTGCATAGTCTGATGAATCATGTTGTCTTTTAGATCAGGTGGATGGCCAGGTGCGTGTTTGAGGTTTACTTGGGAAAGAGATGGCAGCGAGATGGGAAGAAGGCAGGCCAACTGAGGCAGTGTTATGCTCTGGGCAATGTTCTGCTGGGAAACCTTGAGTCCTGGCATTCGTGTGGATGTTACTTTGAGACATATTACCTACCTAGAGAGTGTTGTATACCACATATCCCTGTTCACTGCAATAGTGTTTACTGATAGCAGTGACTTCATTCATTAGGATAATGCACACTGCCTCACTGTGAAAACTGTTCAGAATTAGTTTGAAGAACATGACAAAGCATTCAAGGTGTTGGCTAGGGTCTGCTGCTAATGTCTTGGTACAAGATACCACAGGGCACATTTAGAGGTCTTGTAGAGTCCATACTTCGATGCATCAGTACTAATTTGGCAGAACCACACGATATTAGGCAGGTGGTTTTACTGTTGTGGCTGATCCATGTATTATCAAGGATGTTTTTTGTAACATAACCACTACAGCTCACTGAACAGTTTGATATAAATTGAGAGTCTTCCCCCGCTCCCATCTCAGCTGCATTAATAGTACTGAATTAACACTTTCATATTATCGGTGACACTTTTATCTAACGTGGATGTCATTGCTAGACTACCAATTCTGGGAGCAGTCTTTTGGCACCATTAAAAGACCCAGTTTATTTCAGACCATTCTTAAATGCTTTGATATTAGAGCTGTACACAGTGCCAGGGACTTTGGGCAACATACCTATTACAGTGAACTGTAGTATTTAGGTTTTTTAAACTATTTCTTTAAGCTATTCCTGTCTCGTGCAGTGATGTTATTGTGTAGTGTCAATAATATACATGATACTTTGGTTCAATAGCTACCGAGAGATAATGTCATCTTATACTAGCCCACAGTAGACTAGGGAGATTCTGAATAAGAAGTATTGATGTCTCCAGAAGCTCTGTTTTGTCAGCAAATCTCTCCGGACATTGTAACAATTGCTCCATTCCTCAAAATGTCATTTTGAAATACCCTGGGAGATTGAGACAAGAACCTACGAAAGTCCTTTCCCCCCCTCACAGTGTGCATTGTAAAGCATAGACTATATTGTGTTCTCTAAAACAATGCGTGTTATATGTTAACATTACAGTAGTACATGATTTGCCCAGCATGACGAATGGTTGCACATCGCATAAGCTCTGGGAGCAGGGGCGTACCTAGAGCATTTGGCACCCGGGGCGGATCCTGTGCTTGGCACCCCAACCTCCCCCCCCACCCAAAAAAAAAAAAACCTGTAAAAAATGTTAAAGGTTTTCTTTCTTTTTTTTTTACAATTTGTAAACTTTGCAAAACCGCTGTCAGCCCCTCCTACAAAACCCTTGTCCTGCCCGGCCCCTCCTACAAAACCTCTGTCCTGCCCCTTCTACAAATCCTGTACTGCCCCGTCTACAAAACCCCCGCAACCCCCTTCCACAAATCCCCTGCTTATCCCCCCTTATAAAGACTCCTGTCCCAATACAGAACCCCCGCCCCCTTCTACAAAATCCCTGCAGCCCCACACACACATTTACAGGCAGACAGTCACACACTCAGTTACAGACAGACAGTCACACACTCAGTTACAGGCAGACAGTCACACACAGTCACAGGCAGACAGTCACACATACACATTTCCTCCGTGCGGCCAGTTTATCAGCTGTTTGCTTGTGTGAGCTGTACTGGCCGCACGGCATCCTAACTACCATGGGATACTGTGTGGCCACAGCGAACACAGCTCCCTCCAGCCAGGGCCTGTGCAAGGATTTTTGCCACCCTAGGCAAAAGTAAAGTTTGCCGCCCCCCCCATGTGACATCACAATGCCCCACCCATATGATATGCCATGTTAAGTAACGCCAGTGCTGCAGTGCCGCCGTGTTTACATTAAAAGGCCTGCAGGGACAGGCTATAGACACCAGAACCACTACATTAAGCTGAAGTGGTTCTGGGGACTATAGTGTTTCTTTAATGTGAGGTAAATTAGAGCTTAGTGCCACAAATAATATACTAGATTGCCTACTTACAACCAGATGAGGATGATGATGGGCTCTAGCTGCAGTCTGGCTCCACTGGTCTGGTGCAGAACAGGCTCTCTGGAGGCGGTTTGTAACTGTGGTCACAAAAATCAATGTTCTGGGAGAACGGGAAGCAGCTCCATTTTTGGGGGTCCTTTACACAGCTCAAGGTCTGGGTCCCAGGGTCCACTTTCATGTTCCACCAATGAGTTTGTTCACAGGGGGTGGAGTGTGTAAGGGATGTCCTGATATGTGTGTAAGGAATGCATTGTGTGAAATTGTGTTTGTATGTGGAAGGGCTGCAAGGTGTGTTTCTGTGTATGTATGGGATGCATTGAATGTTTGTAAGGGGTGCATTGAGTGTGTGTAATGAATGCATTGTGTGTTTCTGTGTGTGTAAGGGATGCATTGTGTGTAACGGTTGCATTGCTTGTGTATGTGTGTCTGTGTGTGTAATGCATTGTGTGTTTTTCAGTGTGCAAGGGGTGCATTGTGTGTATGTGATGAATGTCAATCTCTCCTCCCGCTCCAATTTCCTTCTCCTCCTCCCAATTTCTTTTCTCACCCCCCTCCTAATTTCTCTCCCCCCTAATTTCTCTTTCCCCCTCCTAATATCTCTTCCCCCTCCTAATTTCAATTTCTCTCCCCCCCTCCTAATTTCAATTTCTCTCTCCCCCCCAATTTCTCCTCCTCTCCTAATATCTCTCCCTCCCACCTCTCTCTCACCCCCTCTTCTTTTCTCTCTTCCCCCCTCCTTTCTTCTTTCTTCACTCCTCTCCCCTCCTCTCTTTCCTCCTTCTCCCCTTCCTTTTCTTTCCCCCTCTCCTCTTCCTCCTTTTCTTCCCTCCTTCTCCTCCCCTTTCTTTCCCCTCCTTTCTTTCTTTCACACCTCTTTCTTTTCCTCACCCTCCTCCTTTCTCTCCCCATTTCACAGGGAAGGGGGGAGAAAGATGGGGAGAGACACAGGGAAAGGGGGGAGGGAGAGAGATGGGGAGAGACACAGGAAAAGGGGGGAGGGGGAGAGATGGGGAGGAGGGGAGAGAAACAGGGAGAGAGATGGGGAGAGAAATGGGGAGGAGGGAGAGACACAGGGAAAGGGGGTGAAAGAGGCAGAGGGGGAAGAGAAAGACAAAGAGGGAGAAATGAGAGAGAGACACACAAGGGGATGGGAAGAAAGAGGCAGAGGGGGAAGAGAGAGACTGGGAAGGAGAGGGGAGGCATTGACACAGAGGAGCAGTGAGGGGGAGAAAGAAACATACAGAGTGACTGGGGGAGACAAAAAGGCACACAGAGGAGCTGGAGATAAAGCGAGACACATAGGGGCAGTATATATCACTTGTGGATGGGGGGGCAATGGGTCCCCCCCCCCCCCAAGGCTTTCCCCTGCCGGCCTATCTCCCTCTCCGTTCCACAGGCACCGTGCAGCCAGTTGGCAGGGGAGGAAGAGAGGACCTGGGGCAACGCTCCGGCTCTCATGAGGGTGAACTCTAACCCTGGAGCTACGGGCTAGAGTTCACTCTCACCACTTCCTGGTGGTCCCAGTAGTAGGAGTGAACTCTAGCCCCATACACACACTGCCCCACACACACACACACACACACACACACCATACACATTTACACACTGCCCACCCACACACTGAACCTTTCACACACATTGCACCACTGCTCCTATACCCTACTACAGCCCCATATCCCCGCAGACTCCAGGTAAGGTTTGTACTGGCCCCGAATATATTTGTATAAAGTTATCATATCCCCTCTTAGGCGCCGTTTTTCCAAACTAAACAGATTTAATTTTTTTTAACCTTTCTTCATAACTAAAATGCTCCATTCCTTTTATCAATTTTGTAACTCGTTTCTGGACTTTTTCTAGTGTCATGATATCTTTCTTTAGAACAGGCGCCCAAAATTGCACAGCATATTCAAGGTGTGGTCTTACCAGCGATTTATAAAGAGGCAAAATTATATTTTCATCCCGAGAATTTATGCCCCTATTTATACATGACAAAACCTTACTGGCCTTAGCAACTGCAACATTGCATATTGCTGCCTAATTTGTTGTCTATAACAATTCCCAAATCCTTCTCGTGTGTGGTTATCCCTAATTCACTACCATTTAGTGTGTAAGTTGCTTGTGCATTCTTAACCCCAAAGTGCATAACTTTGCATTTCTCTACGTTAAATTTCATCTGCCATTTTAGTGCCCAGTCCCCCAATCTATCCAAATCCCTCTGCAGCAAAGCAATATCCTGCTCACATTTTATTACTTTACAAAGTTTTGTGTCATCTGCAAACACTGATACATGGCTTTCAATGCCTATTTCAAGATCATTTATAAATATGTTAAATAGAAGCGGTCCCAAAACAGAACCCTGAGGGACACCACTTACCACTTTTGTCCAGCCTGAAGATTTCCCGTGAATGACAACTCGTTGTACTCTATCCTTAAGCCAATGTTCTACCCAAGAACAAGAATAATCATCTAGACCAATTTTTTTTTAGTTTGAAGACTAACCTATTGTGAGGAACTGTATCAAATGCCTTGGCAAAATCCAAGTAGATCACATCCACTGCAACACCCTGATCTATACTTCTACTTACTTCTTCGTAGAATGCAATCGTGTTGTGTTCTCAGGAGGATATCATGTAGGCCACAGACACACAAGGCACAACATCCAAGACACACTGTTGGTCCTTCCCTTTTAGATATATAACACATTAACAGTCAAATAGATCATTTGTGTCTTATATTTTCAGTATTTTTTTCATATTTTTGAATGTGCTCTGGAAACTATCACGTGTATATGGTTAATCACACAGATCACGCACCCCTAGGGGAGGCTCTGTATGGACCAAAATAGTGTCAGCAAAGACGTATGTATTCTTCTCATTAAATCACCATATTCACTCGCTGTCTGTAAAATTCTTAGCTCTGCTGAGTCTGTTTGTTGTCTAGTGACAGCAAGAGATCAATAGAAAAAAGCACCGTCAACACTTTTAGCAAATTAAACTGATTAAATACTATCTTATTGTCATCCAACCCCTGGTAGACTGATCCAAAATAAACATGGGTAAAAGAGTGCTGGGGAGAAATACGCAACGTACAATTAACCATTTGGACTAATTGAACTTGGTTTTTTTTTTTAAATCAGCTAATTAATTTAAAATCATGCAAACCAACACTTTAAACTCAACATTGTCTTGAACTGTAATTAAAAATTTAAATATATATATTAGAAATAAATAATGAAGAAATAGAACATATATGTATTTCAATTCCTTGCCATAATCCAAACCATCCATGGAGCAGGCACTCAGTATTCTGTTGTGGACCACATGGCCAGGACTGGCATTAAAGCATGATGGGAAATGGCCGGTGTCCTACGTTTCAGGGTGCTAGGAATGCATGTGTCTAATGTTCCATCATACGTCTCACATTCCTTCACTTTAATGGCAATGCAATATCTGGACAAGAAGAAACCGAGTTAGATGGACTGTAAGGTTTAGGGAAGGTGGCAAACAATCGGGTTGGGGATTAATGTCATAAAGCACAGTTTATAAAAGTTAGGGTTACATTTAGGGTGTGAATTATATTTAAATTGAGGATACATTTACATTTAGGGATCATTATTGAATGAGAATAGTGATTAAATCACGAGTAATCAATAATTTGACTTGCAATCCCCACACTAAGTATTTTATATTTATTGATGATTTTACTGCACGTTAACCGTCAATCTAACTCGGCTTAGTCACCTTCTTATGAACAGGGCAAGAGGCAGTCTGGGTACATTTGGGAGGCTCATGGGAATTGAGAAAGTCTGCCGGGATGCAACATTGTGTAGGATGCAGCGTAATAACATCTCCATGTCTTCCGGTCTGATACAGAGTATATAATTTAGTCTTTCAGAATTCTTTCAAATCCTTGAATAATCTCCGGTCTATGGAGAAAAGAGATAGTGTCCACATTGAGAAAACTGAGGCCACTTAGTTTTTGTCCAAAATACAATGTTTCTGGTTGTTGTAAATCAGTAGCTTGCTAGTTAAGGTTCCATGTCAGTGTGGTGACAGTGTAGTTCTGATTTATTTTCGGCTGTGCATGTTGTGATTGAAACTCATAAATCCGCTGCTGTTATAATAGAGGCAGTTTTATCACGAGTGCCGGTATCGGCAGATCCATTAATGTCACTGACTGATAAAATAAATAGATATTATACAAAACAAGTATTCAGTGGCGTAAATTAATAGATGGGTCAGGTGACTGGGTGAAGTCTCTGAAACCATTTGAATAACTTAGAACTCATGGGGTTTATTTACTAAACAGACGTCGGTCAGGTTTTTTTTATATTTTTTTCACCCCACTATTTAGACTTACATATTGCAAGAAGGTTGTCAATGTATAAAATGTGTGGGGCTATCTCGCAGAGCTGTACAACCAGCCAATCACAATGCAGCAGTAAGGGAACCATTCCATTACAGGGACACTGTAAGCACCATGACCACTATAGTGTGATGTACTTGTTATGATTCTGAAAGAGTCCCTTTAAGTTCAATGCATTCTTCCTTGCAAAACTGTTAATATTGCTCATGCAATTACATTATTCTACTTCTCTCCCTCTAACACCAGATCTAAGTCTCTTCTTTCTGATGTTTAGATGTACTTATTTTCCACTGATGTTGAGTTCTATCTCTCCTCCTCAGACATCCAGATCTCTTCTTTCTGATGTCCAGGTCTACCACACTTCATATAATGTACAGATCCATCTCTCTTCCTCTAACACTAACTCCAAGGTCTACCTCTCATCCTCTAACACTAACTCTAAGATCTACCTCTCTTCCTCTAACACTAATTCTAAGATCTACCTCTCTTCCTCTAACACTAACTCTAAGATCTACCTCTCTTCCTCTAACACTAACTCCAAGGTCTACCTCTCTTCCTCTAACACTAACTCCAAGGTCTACCTCTCTTCCTCTAACACTAACTCTAAGATCTACCTCTCTTCCTCTAACACTAACTCCAAGGTCTACCTCTCATCCTCTAACACTAACTCTAAGATCTACCTCTCTTCCTCTAACACTAACTCTAAGATCTACCTCTCTTCCTCTAACACTAACTCTAAGATCTACCTCTCTTCCTCTAACACTAACTCCAAGGTCTACCTCTCTTCCTCTAACACTAACTCCAAGGTCTACCTCTCTCCCTCTAACACCAGATCTAAGTCTCTTCTTTCTGATGTTTAGATGTACTTATTTTCCACTGATGTTGAGTTCTATCTCTCCTCCTCAGACATCCAGATCTCTTCTTTCTGATGTCCAGGTCTACCACACTTCATATAATGTACAGATCCATCTCTCTTCCTCTAACACTAACTCTAAGGTCTACCTCTCTTCCTCTAACACCCAGATCTACCTCTCTTCCTCTAACACTAACTCCAAGGTCTACCTCTCATCCTCTAACACTAACTCTAAGATCTACCTCTCTTCCTCTAACACTAACTCCAAGGTCTACCTCTCATCCTCTAACACTAACTCTAAGATCTACCTCTCTTCCTCTAACACTAACTCTAAGATCTACCTCTCTTCCTCTAACACTAACTCTAAGATCTACCTCTCTTCCTCTAACACTAACTCCAAGGTCTACCTCTCTTCCTCTAACACTAACTCCAAGGTCTACCTCTCTTCCTCTAACACTAACTCTAAGATCTACCTCTCTTCCTCTAACACTAACTCCAAGGTCTACCTCTCTTCCTCTAACACTAACTCCAAGGTCTACCTCTCTTCCTCTAACACTAACTCTAAGGTCTACCTCTCTTCCTCTAACACTAACTCCAAGGTCTACCTCTCTTCCTCTAACACTAACTCTAAGGTCTACCTCTCTTCCTCTAACACTAACTCCAAGGTCTACCTCTCTTTCTCTAACACTAACTCTAAGATCTACCTCTCTTCCTCTCACCCTACCTCTAAGATCTACCTCTCTTGACCTGACCTCACTTTATTTTCTTCTGGATCATGTAACTAGCTGCCTTTCCTTGATCCTTCATCTTCTTGTTTTTTTCTCCTTTAAGTACCTCTCCTCATTTTTCTATGTCCCTTCAACTTACTGGAAGTCCTTTTAGCTCTCCTCCACAGGTTCACTTGCATCGCACCTTTTTTGACTCTGACCCTTTCATTTACTTTGCTATTACCTTTTGTGGGGTTTTACCCAATTCCAAGATTGTATGTGCATTTTCTCCTGTCTATATTAGGACAGGAGCCTGAAATTGGGACAATCCCACAAGGTCCAGGACTGTTGTGTGTTGTGCATGCGCTTGTGTGTGTTTTTTTGTTGTTGTAAGTGTGTGTAGTTAATTGGGTGTGTGTGAAAGATAGTAGCTTATGGTGTGTTGGCTAGTTAACTGTTTGTGGATTAATGTATCACTTATTAACCTTTTGAAAACCAGAGGTGCACCCATCACATTGACTAATGTTTTTTTTTTTTCCACGGCTTCTAGATATCTTAGGGGAATTTGTCAAGCCTTGATATAATATGCAGTTTATGTAATAAGCACTCTATTCTGGGAACTCAAGATGAATGTATTCGACCTGTGAACTGGGTCTCAAAGGGTCTGCTTTAGTTTGCATAAATCTGGACCGTGAATCAGGAATTAAGTCGCACATATATTTCTTAGGAGATTTTTTGGATTTTCACAGTTTTGCTGTTTCAGCTGCCCGATAATACGATTTTATTCTGCAGTTCTGAGCAGGAATTGACATTTTTACTTGCAAGCAATAAATGTTTATTATTAATGGAAGCGAGGGAAAAAAGGTTAAAAGTACACTTATATGCTTTATTTTTATTTATTTATTTACAGAACGTGAAAATATACAGCTAAGGCATGTTCTGAAATTAAGTTTATCGAGTTATTCCTCTGAAATAATTCTAGCGATTCTAAAAGATTTTTATAAACCAGGCATTTGTTACAGTCATAATCTGAAAAAAATATATATTATATGCAATGCATGAAGGAGCTGCTTAAATTACTACTGAATTATTGTCTTTGTATTACACCCTACCTGCAGCTTCTTAAATAGCAATTAGTATTAAACATTATCTTTTAGTAAAGTAGCTACCGGAAGGGGACCGGTCACTTATCTGGAAATTACCTGATTGAATAAAACATAAAAAGAAATCATCTTTAACTAGTGTTAACCTTTTTCATGTGATGCTACATTTAAAAAAACAAAACATTATAATAATAATAAATATATATATATATACCGGTATTAATTGTTGAGCACAGTAGTCCACTTTCCTCGCCTAATATGTTTCGTATTGCATTCTTAGACTTTTTCCAGAGGCATTATCAAAAAAATAAATCCCCATATAAAGCGCTGAGATTGTAGGGCGTTAGACAGGCGGAACATTCTCTGTGTGCTTCATTACAGGTAAAGGTTTATAACCATTTAGAATGGAATTTATCCTGGGAGACAATGGACAGTAAAATACTACATTTGGAAATTCGTTTAATTCCAAACTGCAATTCGCCCAAATTTGGGCCAATTAGGTGATTGTCCAAATTCCCAAACTCTATGGCCCAATCTCGAACCAAATAAAATGTGCAATGGACGAAATTGTTCTTTTCGATTCGTATTTCAGAATTCCGCTGAAAGAGATGATTTTATTGATATCACTAGTGAAAAGTGGGAGCAGTTAAAAAAACCTCAATATACATTTACTTAAATATTAGATATGGTTTAGCCCCCAAAAAACAACCATTTTTTTGCTCCGTTGGTATCTGAGACTAAACATCCATTGGCTGGTAGGTTTTAGTGTGGGTGCTAATACAATATACCAAAATCTGCCAATTTTAAATGCACTCATGTCACTTTTCCCTATTAATGGATATTGTATTTGAATTATCTTATTAAATTATTAAATTATCTGGATGTGTACTGATTCAGTTATAATTGCACTATGTTATACATTTTAATAACAAAACAGATGATTTTTTGAAATGTTATCTTTATTGCTTCCCTGCTGTAAAATAATGAATATATAGAATGCTAGATATAGTTTCTATCTAGCATCATGTCACCCACCTCCCACGTATTCTAATTACTTGAATACAGTTTACAAATCACAAGACTGCAGAGAGGGGTCACCCCCTTTGCAGTATTTGTCAAGTATTGTTCTGATGTTATTAATTGGTGCAGATAAAATCTCACTTGCATCAGGGCAGCTGCATCAAAGCTAAACTAATGTCCACAAGGAGCATAAAAAAAAGAATTATATCATACAAGATCACCCATGCAAAAATAATAGGGGTTTAGTTACAGAATATGATCATATGTTGCATAGGCCTGCCACAAAGCCAATTCAACCCATTTCTGGCAGGACCTATCTGTCACATATTCATCCACATATAAAAATGTGATTAATTAAATTTAATGTCCTGACAGGAAAAGTTGTGCCGAGCAGCTACCAAATCCACAGGAGGGTTTGTGCTGAGCAGCAATTATGCAAATGTGAACCTGATAACTGCCTTTGGGGTCAGAGGCCGGTTACAGCCTATCAGACCTAGAGGAGGGGTATTTAGGCCCAGTTCTCATCCTGCTCAGTGCCCTGTCGTGGTTTCCCTTGTGGTTGTCCGAGAGCGTGTTCCTGATTCAAGTTTCTTCTGGTTTTTGTTTTTGACTTCCCTGTTTTCTGGCATCCCTGACCCCTGGCATTTCCTTATCGTTGTGTCTCTTTCTGTATCCCCTGACCTCGGCAAGTATCCTGACTATTATTTGGTACGTTAAGTCCGGCCATTCTAAGGTCCGGTAATACGTTACCTGTTAGTCATCTGTGTGACACAATTCTATGTGCTGGATCAACTAGTTATTCTGACACTATCCTACTTCTTTATATCGGAAAGAGTCCATGAGGTGGCCCTGCTTCCAGATTTGGGTACGCATAGTCCCAAACTGCCACCACATGTAACATACAAAATCTGACTGGAAAAATTGTTAATATAATGAGAACGGTTTGCGAGACATTAATGTAAGGAGAGTGGACTGAATGCGCATGCGTGAACAATGAAAACTTTATTGTACTCGTCAGTGGGGGCGTTAGACACCGATGAGTCAACATCTGCACTGTGCGCTGTTGCATTAAAAATGACTGAGCGAGTAGAGCAAAAAATCTTCATGGCATTTTGCGTTAAGGTTGAACAATTCCGGTGATTCAGAAGGCTTTTGGGGACGATACAATGAGTGCAGCACATATAAGTGTGGCACAAACTCTTCAAACTTGGTTGAGAATCTGTTACAATATTTAGTGCCCTACACATTCTGACTTTCCCCCCCAAAAAAATGGAAAAGGGAAGAGATTTCAGACCGTTGATGAGATTGTTAAATACGACAAGGCAGCTGATGGTGATTCCAACAAGGATTTTGCAGAGTGTTTTGAACAGCTGAATAGACACAGGGAGGAATGTGTGAGGGGCCCACTTTGAAGGAGACTGAGGTGTCATTGTCCTATGCCCAATGTTTCTTGTCTCTACTTCAATAAATGTCTCTATTTTTCAAATTACATGACTGGATACTTTCCATACTGACCTCGTAATTCATGCATGTGGCTGTGTAGCCCAAACTTGTTGTAGTGTGGCACTTTCATGGCGAACTCATTGTGATATAACATGAAACCATACATTCATTTTAGCAGATCTCAGTTAGAAAATTTCTATCAATTAAGAAAAAAATACATCTTTTTAAAATGTCTCTTATTTTCTTTTAGGTGGTAATTGAGTAAATGCCATGGAGAGCAAAGTGATTGACTATCGTATCAGTGGTAAGTATACATTTAAAGATAAATACAGAAAATAAGGAAATAGCTCCCAAAATGTTAATTCTATATTACTTTAAATATATAATTGCTTTCCAATATTGTCTTTTCATTAGGGCATCTAAGCATTCTAGGATATAGCTTACATAGTAACTATACTGTTACACTGTATCATACCTCCAAACTGCCCAGAATTCATTGGGACAATCCCAATGACAGAATCTGTCCCATTTTCTTATACCTTCCGGTGTTGGGAAGCATGCAGTTCTAACTTATTGCTCGGTTACTCAATGTGTTAACGTGATGGTACTAGACTTGACTAAACAAACTTGTGAAATGGAAATATCGTTAAACATTTCAAAAAATATATATTTATATTTAAATAACCACTTTGTCAAGACTAGCAGTCTCCCTATTTTAAAAATAAATAAAAATACAATTGTATAATTAATAAATGCTTCCAGAACAAAAGACCTTCTTTAAAATTTAATCTTATTATCACCCACTGTAGAGGGTTACGTAATGTGTATTATTATATAAAATAATAAGATCTGTTTAACATATTCATGGTGTATGTGATTGTGCTGGTCCATAGCATCTCACACAGCTATGTTAAATTCGACATAATCAATACAGGAGCCAGGGTAGAAAGATCCATATTAGCTGATTAGAAATAGAATTATTGTGAAAAGTAAAAGAAATGGTATGAGATATAGGAAGCTTGGTTTAATTGGGCACAATTACATTGGACTCCCACTGTGTACAGCAACGAACTGAGTTTATAGTTCAGGAATGTAATAATGTATTAAATATTAATGGGGACAAATAGAATTCTTTAAATTGGAATAAAGGAACACAAAGGGATCATAGAAGGTTAATTTTAGTGAATTTGTTATAGTGCCCAGTGTTGCTTTAATGGCTGGATAGTTTTTTACATTCTTTATTTGAGTATAGCAAGTAGTATATAATACACAGGGAGGTAGAAAGTAGTATATAATACACAGGCAGGTAGAAAGTAGTATATAATACACAGGGAGGTACACACATTAACCCGTCTGCAGGACAAACAAGCAGAATTTCAGAACTCAAAAATAGAACCAATGGGTTATACGACCATATCAGAAGAGACAGAAGAAGAAAAAAGCTAAGGAAGAAGAAAGAAGAGTAAGGGAATAAAGAGAGGGGGGGAAAAAGCAGAAGCATGGAGAAGGGATATCCTCCGCAGGGTTGGGAGATCAAATATTTATATCATAAGCAAAAACAATATCAGATTGTGTATTCCTCATAGGGTTGCCAGCAGGGCCGGCCCACGACATTGTGCTGCCTGGGTTCCACGATGAAATGCTGCCCCCCATATATGTGTCTGCAATGCTAGTGTGCATACGTGTGTGTGTGTGTGTGCTGGGGATGAAGTGTGTGTCTCTGTGTGTGTCTTGGGTTGAAGTGTGTCTGTGTGCTGGGGATGAAGTATGTGTCTGTGTGTGTGTACGCTGGGGATGTAGTGTGTGTCTGTGCACTGCAGTGAATACACTTGCCTATACACAGTGTCTGTGTATCTCCATGTGTGTCAGTATGTGTATCGGTGTGTCTGCATCTACATGTGTTTCAGTGTTTGTATCTGTGTGTCTGTATCTGCATGTGTGGCAAATGTTTGTATCTGTGTATCTGTACATCTGTATGTGTCAGTGTCTGTATCTGTATATCTACATGTGTATCGGTGTGTCTGTGCAGCTATATGTGTGTCAGTACGTGTATCAAATACTGACACATACAGACACACACACACAGATGTACAGACACCCTGATATGCATACAGATACACATACACACAGATAAACACACACACACAAATACACACTACACACTATACACACATGCAGATACACAGACACTACACAGATACCCACACTACCACAGACACTACACACACACACACTACACACAAAGATACACACTACACACACAGATAATCACACACACAGATGCATAGGCACTACAAAGACACTACACAAATGTTCTCACAGATACACACACACTACACAGACACCACACACACACATTACACACAGAGATACACACACACAAACACACACAGATACACAGACACTACACACACACACACACACACACTCACTACACACAGAGATACACACTACACACAGATAATCACACACACAGATAATCACACACACAGATTCATAGACACTACAAAGATACTACACAAATGCACTCACAGATACACACACACACATTACACACAGAGATACGCATCAACACACAGATAAACACACACTACACACAGAGATACAAACTACACACACAGATACACACACACATATACACATACTACACACACACACACACTGATAAACACATACAAATACACAAACATTAAGAAATTAAGCCACACTTCGGTTTCCTACATAATGCTGGCTGTGACTGGTGGGAGTCGGGGCCTGCTCTCACGATCCGGCCCCATCCTCGTGGCTTCCTCCTACGGCGCGGCTGTGTCAGTGAGCTGGGAGGAAGTGAGAGGTTGTTTCTTCCTCCAAGCTCTTCCTGCGGATGGAAGGTGCCCGGTCACGCTGTTAAAGCGCCACAGTGCACGACCGGGTCCCTCATTGCACATGTCCACCGGGTGGCCATAAGAGCATGGGACTCCTGATAAACCCTCACACAGGTTCCCAACAAGGGCGGTGCAGCTGCATTGCTGCCATGGGTTGGGAACTCCTGTGTTAGAAGCCGCCCCAGTCAGAGTGCCACCTCGAGCCGTGGCTCCACAGTGGTCTATGGACGGGCCGGCCCTGGTTGCCAGACCTTATAGAAAGAAGACATAGTATTGTTTAGCTCATTAAAGCCATTAAATTAGCCATTAGATGATTATTCTTTAACTTGGTGAAGACTGCGTCTAGCGTTGGGACAGAATCTTATAACCAGCACTGCACCCACCAGTGTTTTGCAGCAGTGAAAGTGACTTTATTACATTTTAGTTTCAACTCAGCAGAAGAAAATTCCTTCATCAGTTTTAATAACAGGAAGAACCATGGGTCAGATGGTAGGAATTTACGTGTTTTCATCATGATTTCCTACTAAAAAAACTATGCGCTGAACACAGTACAGATGTTCATCCTTTGCTCAGGACACAAGGTTATGAGTTATGTTTTAGAATATATCTATCACTCAGACACTCCCAGCTGCTCACTCATCATTAAGACTTTCAATGATGAGTGGCATGTGCAACACTTTCATAGCTTTCCATGAGAGAGCTTGTAGAGCCACCAAGAGCATGAACTGAATAGAAAATACAGCCTCCTCACACACAGTCTATCCCCCAATTCACCCTTCCAATCATTGTTACCAACACACACAGTCGCCCTGCCATATTCACCCCCACACTCACCCCACACACAGTCACTATGTCATACTCACACTGTCACAGTCACAATGCCATAGTCACTCTGTCATACTCACCCTGCACACAGTTACCCTGTCATACTCACACTGTCACAGTCACAAAGCTGTAGTCACTCAGTCACAGTCACCCTGCACACAGTTACCCTGTCATACTCACACTGTCACAGTCACAAAGCTGTAGTCACTCAGTCACAGTCACCCTGCACACAGTTACCCTGTCATACTCACACTGTCACAGTCACAATGCCATAGTCACTCTCTCATACTCACCCTGCACACAGTTACCCTGTCATACTCACACTGTCACAGTCACAAAGCTGTAGTCACTCAGTCACAGTCACCCTGCACACAGTTACCCTGTCATACTCACACTGTCAGAGTCACAATGCCATAGTCACTCTGTCACACTCACCCTGCACACAGTTACACTGTCATACTCACACTGTCACAGTCACAAAGCTGTAGTCACTCAGTCACAGTCACCCTGTCATGATCACTCTGTCACAGTCACCCTCAGACATAGGCACCCCACACAGATAGTAACCCTCATAGTCAATATAGCCATAAAGACAGCAGACACATCAAAAACACAAGCAGCACACATAACACATTGCAAGCAGCTCAAACACACTCTTACGCTCCCAACAACAGAGATACACAGAGATAGACAGATATGTCTCAGATACACATACATAACTCCAGACGTGCACACACAGGTAACAATATTGTGATTGTGTCTGTATCTGTCAATGTGTGTGTGTCTGTGCATCAGAGTGTTTATGTTTGAATGTGTGTGCATGTATCAGAGTGTATATATAAGTGCGTGCATCAGAGTGAGTGTATGTATATATATATATATATATATATGTTAAGGTAAATATATATCACAACTGAAACGGAGTGCATCTGGGATAATGTATACAAGAGAGGATTATAGACTGTATGGGAAAAAAAATCAGTGTGATGTAGGACATTGAGGGGACAGTCTGGTGGAGGAGAGTAGGAGGACAACCTGAAGGAAGACAATGAGGACAGTCTGGTGGAGGACAGTCAGCAGAGCGTGTGATCATGGAGAAATGCAAGGGTCTGAAAGAGTAACGCTAGGCATGATTGCAATGGGACAAGGATGGTCAAGAGACTGAAGTGGAGAAAAAAAAGAAAATTGTAATTCTGAACAACACTGGGCAGGGACCTAATGAAGTCAGGGTGTTAAAGATTTTGTCTGAGCTAGAATTTATGATGGATCATAAATGGAGCAGAGATCAGACACCTCATGCATGATCTTTATCAGATCACAGCATTAAAGTTCACCAACAGACCAGCATAAACGCCATCTTCCCGACAAGGGACTAAGTGACAAGGGAAATTATGGAGTGAGTCTAGAAGACAATCTATAAGATATAGACTGAAATAGCGTCAGTTGAGTGAGACTAGGAAATGTTGGGGGGATGTCTCACCTTATCTCAACATCTCACCTTATCAGATCTCTCTCCCCTTGTCTTGCACCTTCCTTAACGCACATCTTCAACTGCTCTCTCTCTTCTGACATTGTCCCTGCTGACCTTAAACATGCCACTGTAGTACCTATCCTGAAAATACCATCTCTTGACCCGTCCTTCCCTTCTAACTATCGTCCTATATCCCTGCTCCTTTTTTTCCTCAAAGCTTCTGGAAAGACTTATCTTTACCCGTATGTCTCACTTCCTCAATTCCAACTCTCTCCTTGACCCTCTTCAATCTGGCTTCCGCCCGCTCCACTCTACTGAGACTGCTCTTATCAAAGTTAGTAACAACCTAATCACAGCTAAATCCAAAGGCCACTACTACATACTAATTCTTCCTGACCTCTCTGTTGTCTTTGACACCATTGATCATGCTCTCCTTCTTTAAACTCTTCAATCACTCGGTCTCTGTGACTCTGTCCTCTCGTGGTTTTCCTCTTATCTTTCCCAACGCTCATTCAGCGTCTCCTTTTCTAATGATACCTCCTCCCCTCGTCCTGTCTCAGTTGGAGTCCCCCAAGGCTCTGTCCTTGGTCCCCTTCTATTTTCTCTTTATACTGCCACTCTTGGCAAACTTATTACCTCTTTTGGATTCCACTACCACCTGTAAGCTGGTGACACCCAGATATATCTCTAGTCGCTCCTCTCACACCTCACCCTTCTGTCAGTCCTTACATTGTCTTCGTGTATCCTATAGGAGTCAATTCAAAGTGCTAACCCATACCTATAAAGCACTGAACAATTCTAGCCCCTCTTATATCTCTTCACAGATCCATAGGACTTTCTCCTATCTGCTGTTCGCACCCATACGGCCAACTCGTGCTTGCAGGACTTCTCGCGTGTGGCTCCCTTCCTATGGAATAGCCTGCCTACCTCCATCAGACTCTCCCCTAGTCTTCAATCATTTATGAAGTGTCTTAAAACTCATCTTTTTAGGAAACTTATGGCTTGCCATAGTAACCTCTACCTTACATACCTGTCTCTTGCTCTCTCCTAAAGGGCAGCACTTTACTCTCTCCTCCAGCTCTGCTTCACTCCCACCTTATTTTAGTTGCTGCTTCTGTCCTAATGTATGTTATACCCCACCTCCTATAGACTGTAAGCTAATTTGAGCAGGGTCCTCTTCAACCTATCGTTCCTGTAAGTTTTCTTGTAATTGTCCTATTTATAGTTAAATCCCCCCTCTCATAATATTGTAAAGCGCTACGGAATCTGTTGGTGCTATATAAATGGCAATAATAATAATAAACTAAAAATGTTGGAGGGAACCTTGATCTTTGATAGACTTAGTCTGTGCAAGTGTTGAATGGAATAGGCATAGGAAGAAATTTTATAGAGCAAGTCGGGAAGACTGTGTGATGGAGTAAAGATGAAAGAAGCTCTGATAATGGAGGCAGGAGGAGAGTTTAATAAAATGAAGAAGGGCATTTCACAAACAAGACATTGTAAAGACTGGAGTAACACGATGTTATTAGACAGGAAAGGAGTCATACAATAACAATATGGTTAGCAATCTGTTTAGCAATATGGGAGATATGAAACAATGAAGTATTTAGACTTATTCATTTTGCATAATTTCTAAATATAGTAACTATGTTGCTTGAAAAAGATGCAACCATTATTTTGTTTTATTTTTGTGTTTCAAAACTGTACTTTAAAGGGACTGTTTCGTGTCAGTATGAAAGGAGTTATAAAATCACCTGAGCATTTTATTATAACGCAAGTGTATATACACTGATCAACCACAACATTAAAACCACTGACAGGTGAAGTGAATAACACTGATTATATTGTTACAATGTCACCTTTTAATGGGGGGGATATATAAGGCAGCAAGTTGGAAGCGTGGAAAAATGGACAAGCAAAAATATCTGAGAGACTTTGAGAACGGTCAGATAGTGATGATTATATGACTGGGTCAGGGCATCTCCAAAACGGCAAGTCTTATGGGGTGCTCCCTGTATGCAGTGGTTAGTACCTACCAAAGGTGGTGCAAGGAATGACAACTGGTGAACTGGCATCAGGGTCAAGGATGTCCAAGGCTCCTTGATGTCCAAGGCTCCTTGATGCGCTTGGCGAGCAAAGACTAGCCCATCTGGTCCGATGACACAGAAGAACTACTGTAGCTCAAACTGCGGAAACATTTAATTCTGGCCATGATAGAAAGGTGTCAGAACACACAATACATTGCAGCTTGCAGCGTATGAGTCTGCGTAGTCACAGACTGGTTATAGTACTCATGATGACTCCTGTCCACTGCCAAAACAGCCTTGCAACTGCTGCTAAGGTCTTGGTGCCAGATACCACAGGACACGTTCAGAGGTCTTGTGGAGTCAATGCCTCGATGCATAAGAACTGTTTTAGCAGCAGGAGGGGGACCTACAAAATATTAGGCAGGTGGTTTAAATGTTATCACTAATCAGTGTTTACTGTACAATCACACTGATACTTATAATTGTACACTTCAGTGGTTTTCTTTGAAATATACATTTCTTACCGCCAGATTCTTCACTATTTCATTATGTGTTCCCAGTCCAAGGACACCAAGTGTGAACCTTCTCATTTTTTCAGATCTGAAGAATTCACAGCTTGGTATATAGAGCTCAGATATGTTTTGTGTTTTTTTTTTACTTGAGCGAGACATTTGCTTGTCGTGTTGCTCATAAATTATATAGCTCATTATTGTTATGCTCTCTAAATCTAATTCCCTTTAATCATTAATATTAACAGACCTTGATCCAATGCTAGAAATAGATTAGATAGCATCTGGATGGTGGGAATCTGCCTGGTTATCATAGAAACTGTAATTCATAGCAGCAGCAACATCTCGATTTCTGTTATGAAAATATGTTTTAGATTTTGGAGGCCAGAATAAAGTTATTTTACTATATTTTCTATCCGTTCTATGACTTTATTAACTGCTTCACGACCGATGACTTGACAGGAATGTCATGATACATGGAATTTGCCAAACCCTTGTTTTAAAATGGTAGAATAAAACAAACATTTTGCTTTATTTTTTAATACTTCCATGGCTGGATGTTGGGATTATATTATATAACTGTAACAGAACCGCTGGCACCCCGACCGGGTACCTTCCGCTGACGGATGCTCCTAGTGCTTTCCGAGGTCTCCAAGCACCTGACACCATAGCCAATGCAGACCCCACGAACCGCCGCAGCTTGGTTGGGGTCTCGCCATCTCCACCCACTCTGGATGCAAGACCAGGGTCCAGCTTCCAGTAGGTCGACCTCTCCGAATTCCAGAGAGCAGGAACAGGAACAAGCTCTTAGCAGAGCTTACTGATTATACCCTGGGGAGAATAGTGATTATAGCAATCCTCAGAGTGTAGTTCTCCAATGCCCCAAACATGAGCCGAAACTTCATAAAGATACAAGATGATCTGACTCCAATGAGCGTTTATTACTCCTTATATACAAGTTTTCAGGTCAGAGGCACACCCCCTGGACCTGGTGGTAAACTGTGACAAAAGGGACACAAACCAATGGGAACACTAATTAACATACGAATGTACGTTTCCTTGTAGTGCTGGTGTTTGAGTGTGTGTATATAATTTTGGAGTTTGAATGCAGGGGTGTGTTTGGATGTAATATTTGTGTTCAGGGCCGGCCTTAGGGGTGTGCGAGCTGTGCGACCGCACAGGGCGCCATGGAACAGGGGGCGCCCTGTGGCCGACACAGCTCACTCATGGCCGGAGTGCAGGGGAGCTAAAAGAGGTACCTGGCTGGAGGATTAATTATTCTCCACCCGGGTCTATTTAAAAAAAAAAAAAAAAAATCGCGGCAGAGGGGGCGGGGTTTACCGAGCGGCGGAGGCGGGGCTTATCGAGAGGCGGAGACGGGGCTAATACCTCCCGAAGCCCCTGCTGTACAGGAAGAGGGAAAGATGCTTCCCCATCAGCCAACTGCATCCACTGGAAAGAGGTAAGTGTGTGTGTGTGACTGTTTGCCTGTTTGTGTGACTGTCTGTCTGTGTGTGTGTGTGACTGTCTGTCTGTGTGACTGCCTGTCCTTGTGTGTGTGTGTGTGTGTGACTGTCTGTCTCTGTGTGTGTGTGTGACTGTCTCTGTGTGTGACTGTCTCTGTGTGTGACTGCCTGCCTGTGTGTGACTGTCTGTGTGTGTGACTGTCTGTCTGTGTGACTGCCCATGTATGTGACTGCCTGTGTGTGTGACTGTCTGTCTGTGTGACTGTCTGTCTGTGTGACTGCCCGTGTGTGTGACTGCCTGTGTGTGTGAGACTGTCTGTCTGTGTGACTGTCTGTGTGTGTGACTGTCTGTCTGTGTGTGTGACTGCCTGTGTGTGTGACTGCCTGCCTGCCTGTGTGTGTCTGTCTGTAACTATCTGTCTGTGTGTGACTGCCTGCCTGTGTGTGTATAACTGTCTATGTGTGTGTTACTGTGTGTCTGTCTGTGTGTGTGACTGCCTATGTGACTGTCTGTCTGTGTGTGTCGCTGTAGCTGTGCCATTGTTTGTGCCTGTGCCTGTATGTGTGACTGCCTTTAACTGAGTGTGTGTGTACATGCCTGTAACCGAGTTTAAATTTCCCCCACCCCTTCCTGTCAAGGCCGCACTTTGACTGACAGACGCTCACTCACTGACAGACGCACACTCACTGACGACACATACACACTCACTGACTGACACATACACTCTCACTGACTGACACATATACACTCACTGACCAACACACACATTCACTCACAGACACACACACATTCACTTACAGACACACACAATTACACACTTACAGACACACACACACACACACACACACACTTACAGACACACACACACACACATTCACTTCAAAATAAACACTCACAGACACACACACAGACATTTCCACTAACACTCACAAACTAATATTTTTTACATTTATTTTAAATCCACCCAGCCTCCCTGGGAAAGCTGGAGTGGATTTCTTACCAGCAGTCCAGTGTGGCTGCTGGGCAGGCAGGCAGGGGGCGCACAGGCTGAGTAAGCAGCGCTTAGTGATGCCGGGAGCCGGACTGACGTCATATTCTGGCTCCCGGCTTCATTAAGCGGCGCAGAGGAAGCTGAGCAGGAAGAGCTCAGGTGAGTATGCTCCTTCGCTGCCCGCTGCCAGCCTTGGGGGGGCTCAAAAGTGGCCAGCCGGTCAGCTCTTGAGCCCCCCAGGATGCGAGGCAAGCAAGGGATCTGCCTGGGGGTTTGGAGGGATGCTTTTTTTTGCCGCCCCCTGCAAAGTGGCGCCCAAGGCAGATGCCTTGTTTGCCTCATGATACACACGTCCCCGGTGCCTGTGTGTGTTACTGTATTCAGGCAACTTGGTGGGAGGTGGGGGGGGCGCCGTGAAGACTTTTTGCACAGGGCGCCTAATTGCCTAAGGCCGGCCCTGTTTGTGTTCGATTGCAGAAGTTTGCATGGTGTATTGATATTTGATTGCTTGGATGTATGCATATAAACACATACACTGCCACATACATACATACTTACACAGAAATATATACACATTAACACACAGATACACCCATATAAACACACTGACACATACACGCAAATTCATCTACACACTGACACATACACACATAGAAACTCAACAACACATGCACACACTGACACGTGCAAACATCCTGACACACAGGTACACAAACACAAACTGACATACATACACACAGATGCACACCCTGACACACAGATGCACACCCTGACACACAGATGCACATACTGTGGCACACACATATATACAGACCCAGATGCACACACATATAAACAGATGCATATACTGACACATGCACACGCTGACACATAGATACACACACAGACACATACACACACCTTGACATACACATAAACACATACACAGGTTTAATATTTGCAGCCACCCTCCTGTTAACATAACTGTGACGAAATGAACCCCGTCACGGGCTCCTGGAGGAGCCTGCTAGCCAGCCTCCTGCCCAGGATTATGGGCCATGCAAAATACACTGAAAAAAGGTTGGTTTGTGCAATTTGGCTTATATAGTTCGGGAACCGAACAGCTGCACGAACCAGAGAACTCCCGGGTGCTTGTTAAGCCCAACTGATACTTTGTAGCAATTTCCACCGCAGTGTTCCAAATATTCTTCTGGGTGGCCGCACTTCGTATGAACGACCACAAGGTGGTGACCATCTTGTTCTCGTGAATGCAAGCAGCGATGTTTAGGCATAAATTTCATGGAACTAAAATCGGACACAGAAACTCCCAAACACTGCTGGACTTCCATCATCGTCTGCGTTCGGTTCTACCCCACTTAGAAAGGCACTGTTTGGTGGAAGTGTTGATGAACATCTAAAAACACATGGATTTCAAGATCAGAGACAACATGGGTTTACTTCAGATAGATCATGCCAAACTAATCTTATTGATTTTTTTGATTGGGTAACTAAAATTATAGATCAGGGTGGTGCAGTAGACATTGCTTACCTAGATTTCAGTAAGGCTTTTGACACTGTTGCACATAGAAGGCTTATCAATAAACTGCAATCTTTAAGTTTGGATTCCAATATTGTTGAATGGGTAAGGCAGTGGCTGAGTGACAGGCAACAGAGGGTTGTAGTCAATGGAGTATATTCGAAGCTTGGGCTTGTCACCAGTGGGGTACCTCAGGGATCTGTACTTGGACCCATTCTCTTTAAAAATTTTATTAGTGATATTGCAGAAGGTCTTGATGGTAAGGTATGTCTTTTTGCTGATGATACTAAGATATGTAACAGGGTTGATGTTCCAGGAGGGATAAGCCAAATGGCAAATGATTTAGGTAAACTAGAAAAATGGTCAGAATTGTGGCAACTGACATTTAATGTGGATAAGTGCAAGATAATGCATCTTGGACGTAAAAACCCAAGGCAGAGTACAGAATATTTGATAGAGTCCTAACCTCAACATATGAGGAAAGGGATTTAGGGGTGATTATTTCTGATGACTTAAAGGTAGGCAGACAATGTAATAGAGCAGCAGGAAATGCTAGCAGAATGCTTGGTTGTATAGGGAGAGGTATTAGCAGTAGAAAGAGGGAAGTGCTCATGCCATTGTACAGAACACTGGTGAGACCTCACTTGGAGTATTGTACACAGTACTGGAGACCGTATCTTCAGAAGGATATTGATACCTTAGAGAGGGTTCAGAGAAGGGCTACTAAACTGGTTCATGGATTGCGGGATAAAACTTACCAGGAAAGGTTAAAGGATCTTAACATGTATAGCTTGGAGGAAAGACGAGACAGGGGGGATATGATAGAAACATTTAAATACATAAAGGGAATCAACACAGTAAAAGGAGGAGACTATATTTAAAAGAAGAAAAACTACCACAACAAGAGGACATAGTCTTAAATTAGAGGGACAAAGGTTTAAAAATAATATCAGGAAGCATTACTTTACTGAGAGGGTAGTGGATGCATGGAATAGCCTTCCAGCTGAAGTGGTAGAGGTTAACACAGTAAAGGAGTTTATGCGTGGGATAGGCATAAGGCTATCTTAACTATAAGATAAGGCCAGGGACTAATGAAAGTATTTAGAAAATAGGGCAGACTAGATGGGCCGAATGGTTCTAATCTGCTGTCACATTCTATGTTTCTATGTTTCTATATACAAGTTTTCAGGTCAGAGGCACACCCCCTGGACCTGGTGGTAAACTGTGACAAAAGGGACACAAACCAATGGGAACACTAATTAACATACGAATGTACGTTTCCTTGTAGTGCTGGTGTTTGAGTGTGTGTATATAATTTTGGAGTTTGAATGCAGGGGTGTGTTTGGATGTAATATTTGTGTTCGATTGCAGAAGTTTGCATGGTGTATTGATATTTGATTGCTTGGATGTATGCATATAAACACATACACTGCCACATACATACATACTTACACAGAAATATATACACATTAACACACAGATACACCCATATAAACACACTGACACATACACGCAAATTCATCTACACACTGACACATACACACATAGAAACTCAACAACACATGCACACACTGACACGTGCAAACATCCTGACACACAGGTACACAAACACAAACTGACATACATACACACAGATGCACACCCTGACACACAGATGCACACCCTGACACACAGATGCACATACTGTGGCACACACATATATACAGACCCAGATGCACACACATATAAACAGATGCATATACTGACACATGCACACACTGACACATAGATACACACACAGACACATACACACACCTTGACATACACATAAACACATACACAGGTTTAATATTTGCAGCCACCCTCCTGTTAACATAACTGTGACGAAATGAACCCCGTCACGGGCTCCTGGAGGAGCCTGCTAGCCAGCCTCCTGCCCAGGATTATGGGCCATGCAAAATACACTGAAAAAAGGTTGGTTTGTGCAATTTGGCTTATATAGTTCGGGAACCGAACAGCTGCACGAACCAGAGAACTCCCGGGTGCTTGTTAAGCCCAACTGATACTTTGTAGCAATTTCCACCGCAGTGTTCCAAATATTCTTCTGGGTGGCCGTACTTCGTATGAACGACCACAAGGTGGTGACCATCTTGTTCTCGTGAATGCAAGCAGCGATGTTTAGGCATAAATTTCATGGAACTAAAATCGGACACAGAAACTCCCAAACACTGCTGGACTTCCATCATCGTCTGCGTTCGGTTCTACCCCACTTAGAAAGGCACTGTTTGGTGGAAGTGTTGATGAACATCTAAAAACACATGGATTTCAAGATCAGAGACAACATGGGTTTACTTCAGATAGATCATGCCAAACTAATCTTATTGATTTTTTTGATTGGGTAACTAAAATTATAGATCAGGGTGGTGCAGTAGACATTGCTTACCTAGATTTCAGTAAGGCTTTTGACACTGTTGTACATAGAAGGCTTATCAATAAACTGCAATCTTTAAGTTTGGATTCCAATATTGTTGAATGGGTAAGACAGTGGCTGAGTGACAGGCAACAGAGGGTTGTAGTTAATGGAATATATTCAAAGCTTGGACTTGTCACCAGTGGGGTACCTCAGGGATCTGTACTTGGACCCATTCTCTTTAATATTTTTATTAGTGATATTGCAGAAGGTCTTGATGGTAAGGTATGTCTTTTTGCTGATGATACTAAGATATGTAACAGGGTTGATGTTCCAGGAGGGATAAGCCAAATGACAAATGATTTAGGTAAACTAGAAAAATGGTCAGAATTGTGGCAACTGACATTTAATGTGGATAAGTGCAAGATAATGCATCTTGGACGTAAAAACCCAAGGGCAGAGTACAGAATATTTGATAGAGTTCTAACCTCAACATATGAGGAAAGGGATTTAGGGGTGATTATTTCTGATGACTTAAAGGTAGGCAGACAATGTAATAGAGCAGCAGGAAATGCTAGCAGAATGCTTGGTTGTATAGGGAGAGGTATTAGCAGTAGAAAGAGGGAAGTGCTCATGCCATTGTACAGAACACTGGTGAGACCTCACTTGGAGTATTGTACACAGTACTGGAGACCGTATCTTCAGAAGGATATTGATACCTTAGAGAGGGTTCAGAGAAGGGCTACTAAACTGGTTCATGGATTGCGGGATAAAACTTACCAGGAAAGGTTAAAGGATCTTAACATGTATAGCTTGGAGGAAAGACGAGACAGGGGGGATATGATAGAAACATTTAAATATATAAAGGGAATCAACACAGTAAAGGAGGAGACTATATTTAAAAGAAGAAAAACTACCACAACAAGAGGACATAGTCTTAAATTAGAGGGACAAAGGTTTAAAAATAATATCAGGAAGTATTACTTTACTGAGAGGGTAGTGGATGCATGGAATAGCCTTCCAGCTGAAGTGGTAGAGGTTAACATAGTAAAGTAGTTTAAGCATGCGTGGGATAGGCAAAAGGCTATCCTAACTATAAGATAAGATTTAGAAAATTGGGCAGACTAGATGGGCCGAATGGTTCTTATCTACCGTCACATTCTATGTTTCTATGTTTCTATGTTTCTAAGTGTTCCCACGAACAAGGGGAATAGGCTACACAAGTACCTTAAGGATTCCGTTCAGCGTTTTATGTACTTTTGTGCTCCTGAAAGAGTCCGACCGTTAGCCCTGATTTCCTGCAACTGTTTTGGGCATAGGTCCGTGTGCATGGTCGTTCAAATAATTGACTTCCATTAAATCCCGAACCCCTGAACCGATCTGGGTGATTTTTGGATATGTTGGTCACCCAGATCAGGGCTATCAGGAGATTTGACTTTTGTGGGTTTTTCATGTCTTTTGGGGGTTTTGTTATATTGTACCCGAGAAATAATTTAATTATATGTTTGTGTGCTCAGGTAATTATTTCTCAGGCACAGTGGAGGAGTGTGTGGAATGTTTGCTTGTAACTAGTTCCCTCTCAGGTCCAGAGGGGAGTGTCCCTGGAATATGTTTAACCCCTTAAGGACACATGACGTGTGACATGTCATGATTCCCTTTTATTCGAGAAGTTTGGTCCTTAAGGGGTCAAGGAAACCCCTTGCATGGGGAGTTACATAAAAGGGTGTGTGTGGTTCCCATTAAACACATTCGTTTTACCCCTTCATGAAGTCTAGGCTCATGTTTGGGGGATTGGAGAGCTCTAATCCCTACTCTGCTGGAAACAGGAGAGCTATAATCCCTGCAGCACTTGGCATTCGGGAGACTACTAACAGATAAACTCAGCCGGAGTATAGGGGATCCGTTACAATACCTATATTGTTCAGGAGGGTGGCTTGCTGTTGGTTGGGGCTGATGGGAGTGTAAGTTATGGAGCAGCTCTCTGGTTGCTCCTCTCCCCACTGCTGCCTGTGGTACCATCGCATCCTCCTCTCTCCCTCCTGCGCGGAGCTCTCTATTTAATCTCTGAGGAAGAGTTTGGCTGTAACTTCCTCCAGCTGGCCGATATCACAAGTGCCCGGTCGCACTCTTAAAGGGCCGTGGTGCCCGAGCGGGTCCCTTCCATTGGATGGCCCTAAGTCCATGCCAGTGGGCCCGGGTGCAGCTGATGCGGCTGATCCACCACTGCCCTTATATCCCACATAGAATTGCACTGATGAGGCTCAGGCAAGAACACACAGGCTACAGTACAGAGACCTGGCCCACGCTATTGAAGTAGTAGGAAGGGAATCACAAGGATAGGGAGACAAAGTGGGAGAGATTAACAAATAAAATAGGGGGAAATGGACAATCATATACAAAACTCGGAGAGATGGGCATACAAACAAAACAGAGAATTTTTGGGAATTCAGGAACATAAAGTGGGAAACATGCTGTTACAATAACTGTCCTTCACTGCGCCATTCTGTCATGGAACCTTTCTTTGTTCCGATGCACACAAGACGTTCCTCACTACTCTCTAGCTTCCTGGTGTCTCATTCTGACATGTCATGTGTCCTTATGGGGTTAGATTATCACAACCCAGTACAGGGTATAAATACTTCCTGGTTGTCCTTGTTTCTTTGCCCTGTCATGGTTTCTTGTTACCCGAGAGTGTGTTTATACTGTATATTGGATTTACTGTTTTCTGACCTTGGCTTGTTCGATACACATCCTTACCATGTCTATTTTCCAATTTATGCCCAACGTGGTCCTTAATAGTTGCATGTGTATTATATTACAGTCATTAAAAGTCCTCCAGAATGGGAAATTGGAATCTATATTGCTGGTGCATTAACACTACTTGGAGTAGCTGGGCTATACCTATGGAAACTTTATAAATCAGGAAATTACCCATCACCTTCTCCTTTTCCTAACTACGACTATCGATATCTCAAGCACAAATATGGAACATCTCACCCCAACGTTAAAAAAAAGGTAAGATATGGTTGACGAACTAGTCTAAAAGTCAGGATTTAGATATCCAATTATCATTAATCTACATCTATTTACTAGGCTGATCAGTTGTCCTATTCATGTGGATGATAAGATGTTTCATGACAATGGGGAGATTTATCAAAGAGTTCTGTTCTAAAATGTGGTCTAAAGTACTAAACGGGGAGCAGTCACTAGAGAAACTGGTGGAAGCAAAAGGCACATTCCATTAGTGACCCCCTTCTTTAAATTATACCATCACCTTTCAGAACAGAACACACTGATAAATAGCGCCATGTGTATTACAACACTGCATTGAAATGAATGTTAAACTGTACAGTGTGTTTTTTTATAAGACTCCTTATTATAAGGGAATTGTTATTACTCAATTGTATTGTTTTCAATATCGTTTAATTTCAATCTGGTTATCTTGAAAATAATATTAAATAACCACCGGCACATAAACTCTAGCATTGCTATATCTTACGCTAACTAAAAAGCTAAGCACATATTTTGTGCAAAGAGAGCTTTAGATATGGTTCAGTGGTTAATTATAGTAATGGCTTTACGGGTTGTCAATAGGAATGTTAATCAATGAGAGCGTTTCCCCGGCTTTGCGAGAAGCCATACGAAGCATTGCGTAGATCATGATTGAAAAAAAATGTATAAACAATATGTGGATGCATTTACTAAGGCACTATTTTGCAATAGTAACGGCAAGTCCTACTATATAGATATATATATATCTGATTAAACTGATTGCCAATAAGGTACGACTGTATTTTGTATCCAACTAATTAGATTGATTACCTGCAGAAATGTTGAGCTTTGAAATGCTGTGTGTCATTACAGTGCAAATGGATTGTCAATGTAGCATTTATTAGAACACAGGCATTACGGCTGCGTTTGTTAGAATGCCATCTTTAATGGAGGGCTTAGATTTAGCACTTCGTATTAGCGGTTGCTGTTCTATGTGAATTCTAATGAATGACTCTAATGAATTGCTCTAACACTTTTTTGTTTTTGTCCGAACAATGCCCATTGGGCATTATTCCTAGGGTCCCCCATCCTGAAATCACTGCAATTTTTCTTAAAAATAAGATTTACTCACCTTAATCCAGCGTGGGGCAAAGCTCCCGGAACGGCTCAGTACACCCCCTTGTGAAGTCACAGGAGCCCCATGGAGGTCCAATCAAAGGTTACTCATAGAGAAGCCTTTCACTGGACTATTTAACTGAGCACATGTGAGCTCTGATCTGATGAAGCTAAGGGGGGGAGTGGGGAAAGGAGTAAGGAGGGTGAAAAGAAATTTAGTGGATGGAAGAGGAAAGCAGGGGGGTAGGAGGGGGTTCCAGTTGCAGGTTCTGCCCGCAGAGGGAGAAGCAGAGAACTTCTGTTGCAGACATAAAAATATGCATAAAATTTACATTAGGCAGCTGCCAAAGTCACGTTCTGGGGGCAAATAACCCTGGGTATGTAGTGTTTCAAGCTGAAACACTGCACCTCCAGACTCCTACCACCATGACCACTTCTAGAAGAAAACGTGGCCATGGTGATTAGACTGAGCTTTTAACAGTTTCAAAATTGAGAATACACTTCAATAGTAAATACAGTTGACAACATCGGTACAATGTTAATTGGAAAGGACGAATTAGACATATATACAATGTTGTCGGGCAGATTTAAATTGTATTTCTTACTCCTTACAGAAAACCACAGTTGTCAGTTCTAGAAATAGCATGACAAACCTCAATGACAATTATGAGAGTATCAGCGAATTTGGTCCCATTGAATTGATTAACAGAGATCTGGAAATGACTCCCTATGGAGTGCTAAGGAAATCTGTCTCTACCGATTCTCTCAGTTCTATCTCATCGATTGGCAATAATTTTGGCCAAGATTTTACAGTAGGACAGATTGAAGTGACTATGGAATATGACATCAGTTCCAACACCCTGCACGTTTCTTTATTACAAGGGAAGGATCTCCTGGACAAAAGAGAAGAGGGTAACTTTGAATCTTGCTTTGTACATATCAGTCTGCTCCCAGATGAACAAATTGTTGGGATTTCCAGGGTAAGTCCTTCTTCATATTTCTTAATTTTACATCCAGTAAGTTGAATGTGGTACTTTAACACGTTATAAACAAACTATCTGAGGATTGGTATCATTTTGATAAGTATATTTTCTTAAATTGTCATATTTCCAGGTGCATAATGATCGTATTACATAATGAAAAAAGAGCAAGGATCCAAAAGTCATGTGAAATCGTTATATTAAACCCACCTTAATATTCACGCAGCATTTTCTCAATTTAAGGACTTAGAAATATGAAAACAGTCATTTCACATTACATAACAATGTACATTTATTAAAGAAATAATGATAAGGTGGTGACCCCTGAACCTGATATGGTTGAGGGGAAACCAGGATGTCAAATCTCCAAAAAGAAGAATCTTTACAAGCTTTGCGGAGACCTTAACAGGTTGGAAAGTTAACAGATCCACCTTGCTGGTTGTTGAATAAAATGTCATTTCTATAATTGAAGTTATTGTGTAGTGTAGTGGTGATGTTACCTTTGTCTTTACCTTTGCAGTACCCTGACAGAGCTGGATTACCCGTAATACCAAATGAGGAGCACATCCGTTAAAAGGAAAAAACACTTTATTAATTAGGTCCAATATGCCAGGTATCCCAAAATGGTATTAGAAGCATTGACAATAATAACAATGTAAAACTCCATGCAACAAAACATAGTATACACAACTCACATATATTCATGCACATAGAGTCACAATTACAGCAGTTCTATTCATGGTATAGAGTCCACAATGATACATTAAAGGAAACCTACCCACTAGAAAATACATACCATAAAAAAGGACAACAGAAATAGCGAGAAGAGGGAGACAATCAGAATTGCTCCCAACGTTTTGGCAAAATAGTCTTTATCAAGGGAGCATGTTATGAAAAATATACAAAACTCCTTTATATACCCTGAAAACAAAATGTAAATCAAAGCACCTGTGTGAAATGGGTGGCCACCCACATTGATTGGGATCCACCCAACCATGATCAAATAGCTATGGTCACCAAGGATATCAATAAACAGGAAGTCTAAATACATCAATCCCATACATACATTTATAGAGTATATAAATTCCGAATCCCACTTAGCTGAATGAAAAAAACGATAAAAAAGACACATTGTTTTGGTCCATTGGGATATAGGACCCTTGAGTGATCACCCAATCTAAGAATTTGCTTTTTGTTGAGATATTTTTATGTAATTCATTTAGTGTGTCTACCTTTCTAAATAAGAGCTGGATTACCCAACAGGCGACCAAGGTAGCTGCCCAGGGCCTGGGCTAATTTGGTTGAGGGAGCGGATTGGCCTATAACAATATCAGGTACAGACCAATTTCCCCTCCCAGTCCCTTCGGTGATTCAGAGCCAATGCTGAGTCATTGACTGAGCACTAGAACAACGAGGGCACTCTGAATGTGGTCTGAACCAGATATTGGCACAGATGGTGGAGCTCTGCCAATGGAATACTAGACATGTGGAATTTGTTTTGTTCCGAATGTACATTCGGACGAATTTCGTGCAATTCGGACATTCGGATGCTTACGAATGTCCGAAGTGGCGATGTTCCAAAGTGCCGAAGTTCGGTAGTTCGAAAGTGCAGAACAGAATGACATTGGTCCGAATTAATGAAGTTCCGGTGCTTCGGATTTCTGAAAAGTGTCAAAACAAGAGAGAGGGAGGGAAAATTACATGAATGATGACAGGAATCTTGACCAATAAGCTAATTCCTGGCCCTGGGAGCCCTATATATGTGTAAGTGGTTGTGGTGGCAGTCCATGCACTGGGAGCCCTATATATGTGTAAGTGGTTGTGGTGGCAGTCCATGCACTGGGAGCCCCCTGCCACCACAACCACTTACACATCTATAGGGCTCCCAGTGCACGGACTGCCACCACAACCACTTACTAGACATGTGCAATTAGTTTCATGCAATACGTACATTCGGATGCTTATGAAGCATGCAAATTGTTTTACTTACCCGAATATCCGCACCGAACCACATTTTTTGCCCTTGCACATTCCTACAGAATACCAAGGATCAAGCTCAGTCTCCACTGCTGAGGGGCCTAGGCAACTGTAATCTGGCATCTGGCTCTATCCCCTGCTTTTATGTCAGACCATGTACGGCCACCTGGAGGCTGCCCCCTACTCATAGTGTAATTAGCACTATCAATGTCAGCCTCATGACATTACTAGGCTGAATGCCTGTAACCTCGAAAACTGTTTGATAAAGAACTGAAGAATGGTGCCCAGAAATTTTTGGAAACATAACCATTACACTGAGCTGTGGTGATAATGTTGCTTCGAGTATCTAAAATATGTTTATTAAATGTTAATCAAGAGCCTCTGTATCTCAAAGTAAATAATTTTGAGGTTGCAAAATGCCAAAGGGTTGAACAAATCCCAGAGATTTGTTACATATTTTAGAAATCCATGTTAATGGAATGATAAGGTCAATGCATGTATCACCAGCCACACTGAAATTCGGAACATTAGATTAGCCATGGACAATTGGAGATAATCAATGTTCTCAACTTACATTTCTCTTCAAATCCTCTCCCTACCAGATAAAAATAAACCAATCTCTCTCTCTCTCTCTCTGTCTCTCTCTATCTGTCAGTCTCTCCCTCTCTCTGTCAGTCTCTCTCTCTCTCTGTCAGTCTCTCTCTCTCTATCCATCCATCTCACCTTAATATACACCTCCTGATTAAAATGTATTATAATTTTAATTATTTAGTACATTATGTTATATATACCCATTGTACAGCGCTGTATAATTTGTTGGCGCTTTATAAATAATAATGATATATATATATACACACACACACACACACACACACACACCTAACACATTTTTCGATTATAAAATACAAAGACTCAACGCTTTCTTTAAGGTTAGCAGACACTGCAGCACAGAAGGAAGAATTCCAGGGTAAAAGCTACTGAATCTTAGAGGAGATTCAGACAGACTGTCCCAGGGGGGTTTAATAAGCCAGGATTCCACCATCCCAGTGTGCTGCGTGGGCGGATATGCTACAAGTTTAATATTGTAGCTACTCATTAAAAAATGACAGTAGGCATTCCTGTCCAGCTCTCTCCCTGTGCAGCAGAGCACACTTTAATTACAGCTCATGCATCATCACAGGAAGGTTGGCTTGCACCAAAGACTTAAGACACCCTGGGGTTTATTTGCTAAACAGTGAACTGATGTGATTTAAAAGCTGAATTTTCTAAACTAAAACCAAAATATGTGAGCTGGAAGTGGAACGATCCTTCTGCTTAGCTATATTCCCAACCTGACCACGTGTTTTATCTATAGTTTGATAATCGGGTCCTCAAACCATCACAGTCTACAGTTTAATGAATTAATCTCTCAGTGGAGGTTTCTACGTTATCTGAATTCCTTTTGTGTAAGAAAAAACGAGCAGGCTTTTGGTCATGAAGAGGTTAACTCATAAAGATAATTGCAAACAGAAAGGATTAACTGTTTGCATTACAGTTCCCCATTAATCAGATTCTGTATTGATCTTGTTAAAAGTATCACTGACGATGCATTCTCCTGCATCCTCCGTGAATGGATCACTTTTTTTCCCTTTAAACAGAAACAGTCATATTATTGATGAGAGATATTCTAAAACCGATAAAGGCAGCTCTTGCTTGCGTTATCCTTTTGATACATAGTACAGATTTTATATATGTCAATAAGGAAGAAACATTCTAATATTATAAGCAAATTGTGAAAAAATAAAGCAGGTCTCTACATTGCAACTAACGTTCAGTGGTGGAATTAAATCGTGTTAATATAAAATATCTGTTTATTTTCACAATTTGACAACATTGATAACATACTGAAGCCTTATCACTATACTAGAAAATAGGTGGAACGTTGCATAAATTTGCATAAAATGCCAGGTCTATGCCCTTTTTTCCAGGGCAGTTTTTTTTTGTCAGAGTGCAGTGCTCGTCATTTGCAAAGTTCTTGAGTAATATAATATAAATAGCTGATTTGAAATATAATGTGGCGGGGAGCTGTCAGGAAATATTAATATTTTATGCTAAGATTGAGACATATAGATGCAGACATGCCCTGGTACTGTAGCTAATGTAGAATGCATCTTCCATCTGGCGCAGTTTGCGGATCAGGATGCTGGTTGTATCGTATTGATAGAAATTGCATTACCATCACTACATGCTGGCACTTCTGTCTTTGATTAATAGAGTTAAGAGAGGAATTATCCCAGACAGCGCCATATATCTAACGTGTAACACAAACAGCATATCAAGAAAAATTGGGGGGGAAGGAATTGAAGAGGTGTCGAAAATGTATTTTTAAATGAATTGAGGACAAGCCCCCACGTCCTGCAAAGTTATTCAGTAAAACTTATATTTGTAACACACTTAAAGGAAAATTGGATATTATCTTAACGTCTGCTGTCGTGAATCCCCTGAGCCCTGTGCAAATGACAGCTGTTTTAATACGAGTAAAGAATACTGATAATTTTTCACTTTTCTTCAATTTGAGTGATTCTGCTCACAATTGATTTATAGCTCTGGGTGCGATCTTATTATCTTCTCAAATCCATTGTATTATCTAATTCTGTATTGCCTCTGCTTCCTATTGGCTGACAAATCCCCTCTGCTCTAAGCAGAGTGACTGTTTCCTCTTGTATTATGACGTTCAAATTAAACCGATAAAACAGAGGAATGAATAACATCCCATGACAACTCACACTTTGTAAAAGTCGAAATTCTCTATAATGCAGCATGGCACCAATTATGGGTTGGCTGAACAACAGCATTTTGAGAACTTTGTATATTTCTGTTTTGCACAAGTGATGTTTTCTTAATTACCTGTAAAACTGATATCGTTCTGTGTCACACCCACACCTCCAAAGTGTCCCTATTTAGAAGGGACAGTCCCTATTTTTGGACCAAAGTATAACGCACCCTTACCTACACCCCTTGGGCAAATGCACTACAAACAGAGCAATCACCATTGAGGATCTTAGCAAACTATACAAACACCCCAGATGGTGACGATGAAAGGAATAACGTAAAATTCATCTTAGAATCCAAACCCTAAATCGAGAGAGACAAATTATAGAAGATTAATTTAGTAAAATACAACAAATGTTAGTAGCAACATTACCAGCCACAAACACATCATGTTCTGAATACAATGTACAAAAATTAGACAAATGAAATGGATGGATGGAGTGTGGAGCCATAGAATTAATACAAATAGCAACACCCAAATCTGAGGACCAAAAATGCAATAAGACAGTCAAAATGAACATTTAAACAGTGAATTAATCTCACTTTGGTACCGTTACAGAACCATCTGTAATCAGGCACGGATAATCTAATATATTTATTGATAGACTTTCTCTTGTACTGTGTTTGAAATCAACGTCATACTGCGCTGGCACTGAGATGGTGTAATGCTGGTATCTGTGCCCAGAGAGTGGTTTGTATAACACATATTTAACAGTTTCATTGCTGGACCGCTCGACTGAGTGCCAACATTGATCAAAGTCACGTAGCGTCTGACTATTACAGATGTAGAAGATTAAGAAAATTGTTAATGTAATGGAAAAACATAAGGATCATCTTAGAAAGTATATATGTGGAATAGCAAACTGGGCATGATAAGAGTAAGTGAATGCAACAGCTGGAGAGACAGGCGTTCTCTATCTCAGTGGCGTACACACAATCCATGGGGCCCCGGTGCAAAACTGATCCATGGGGTCAACCCCTGCGACCGCGGTATGTACGCCTCTGCTCTATCCCTTACCATTTAATGGGCTGCTTAGCTGTATCCATCTTATGTCTGTCCAGTGGCAACCCAGGCAGGGCCCCCTCTATGATTTACTTGATTTACGGAGCAGGGTGGATGCACATCTCTAATTCTTTGTGAACTAAGCCTGGCCAGCCGACCCATTCTCAGAGTGCTGCTGATAGGAGCTGGAACTGGCAAAATTGCCCTTCATGGGCTTATGTAATTCAAACACCTTAAATGATGCTGAAAAAGCTTTTTGAGCATTTTTTTGACTTTTTCTCTGGGGCCTCCAGAAATGAGAGCAAATAAATATCTCAAAATAAGGACTGTCATGCAAGGCCTTGGACAGTTGGGAGGTATGCAGTCCACCTCTGGGTCACAAATCCTTTGCAATTGCATTGTTTAATGTCACTCTCCTTCATGAAATATGTTTTCCCTCTGGGGTGAACAGTCAGCTCTGACACTGTCATTAAGAGTCTTGTTACTGAAAATCCCAATTGCCGCAATCCCGAGACAATTCATTTTCTGTACAAAGTCTTTTTTTTTTAACTGTTTCCATGATGGAATGCTTACGTTTCAAAGGAGCTCTAGGCCTGAGCACAGAAATCGTTATTGTAACCTGGGCTTATTACCTGAGTCACAATGCAAGGCACAACACTGCGGGTTGATTTGCTTGCACTGCGTGTAGTTGGGAGAGGAATCCCGCTGTTACTGTCAAGCGTTACATTGATTCAAGGATGGCTGAATGATGGCATTGGTAAACACTGCTCTGCTCGGTGCTGGAAAACCGACACACAAAGCAAAAAGAAATGCTCCCGTCAATGCAATACAGAGACATGAAGAACCGTTTGATATTTGAGTTTTATATTATTTTTTAAGGCACAGGAATAATGGGTTACTGGAAATATAAAAATAAACCATATGCTTTCTATCTCTTGAAACTCAAATGTCATATGACAACAGCATATTCCCCTTTTACTCCACTTACCACTTGTTCAGAAAATGTATACGTGCATGATATACTTCACAAAAAAGTCCTGACCCACGCTTTCATGTGTACAAGGTTTAGCAACTGACTCCCCTTTCCTTGCTTTTTCTCAATATTCCAACTTCAGCAGATTTAGAACAGATTCAGTATCCTTAATAGACTTAGTGTTTGAAAACATCTGTATCACAAGCAGATATGTCTCGTTACCAAGGAATAATGAACTGTTATAATTTACATTCAGAGGTTAGGATATAAAGCTGCGATGCCAGGAACCTCAATTCTAAGTATCTCGTAGATTGGTAAAATTCCCATTAAATACAACATTTATATTAAAGAGCAGAATATTTATGTATTGTATATATTTTGTTAGCTGAATTGCTCGTCAATGTATAGATTAAAAAAAATAACATGATAAAGTACATTCTACAGCTGTCAAACAATTCACCAATTGTCAAGCAATATTCCTCCAGGTGGTTATCCTCTTTTCTTTCACAGCAACTACTACAGCACATGCCCAGCAATGCATTGTAGTTGCTGTGATAATCGCAGGCATGATTGAGCGTTGCACTTTGCAGATGGATGCTGGGAGTGGAGTGATGGATGTCACTCGATTCACACACCGATGTGCGAGTAATGAACAACGTAGCAGCTTTCTGGGATGGTGCACCCTGTTTTGAAAGTATCTGTATATCTGTTTATTCAGCATTCCTAGCAAGAGGTGGCCAGTAGCAAACTAAAAGCCTCAGCTAGCGATCTCACTCCTATCAATGGTACCCAAGACAATATTTTCCTTACTACTACCAGGGCGGGAGGACAAAGGGGCAGAACAGACGGCACCAGGGGGACAACTAAGAGGTTAAGCCATTCGAAAATGGTTTAACTTCATAAGGTAATATGGCAGGGGTAGGCAACTTTCGGCACTCCAAATGTTATGGACCACATTTCCCATAATGCCATCACAGCCATAATGCTGGCAAGGCATCAGGGTAGATGTTGTCCATAACGTCTGGAGCACAGAAGGCATCCTTTCCAAAAGAAAAATTGGAAGTAATGTTTTAATAGTAAAAATGTATTCTTTCACCCTGCTGCACGGTTTGCTATAACGATCATTTCTTAACATTTGCATTCTTTTATTGTTTTGACAGATACAGAGAAATGCATATTCGGTTTTATTTGATGAGATGTTTTCCATTCCTCTCGACCCACTGGCTCTGGAAGAAAACAGCCTGAGGTTCTCTATTTTTGCAATTGATGGGGATGAGAGAAACGTCAGCACTGGAGTAGCGGAACTGAAGTTATCTGACTTGGATTTGACTCTGCGTCCATTTAATACATGGATATATCTACAGGATGTCAACAAGGTTAATGAACTAGCTGCATTATTATGGAGCAATGCTACTGCTATTTGTAGATTATATGTGATACATGAGAGCGTTCTCGTTACTTCCTTTGGTTTAAAGCAGAATTATCACTCACGGAGGACAGCGTAGAGGAGAACAAGAAAAGAAAGTCGCAATTTAGATCATAAAGCAGATTTTTCACCAATTAAAAAAAAATCACTTAAATAGCAGAGCACAATGCCATCTATAGTCTATTTAACTCTTCCCAGCTGTTTGTGGAGTTTTGGTACCATATTCTAAATTCTTGAATTTACATTGTGACCCAAACCCTAAGTCATTCTTGCACAAAACCTAGCTCTTACCCGCACCACTTAAATGTGCCTTCCTATGGCATCATTAATATCCTAAATCTAACCTTACCTGAAGACTAAGTTCCTCACACAAACCCTAATCACTCCTTTCCACAAGCCCTTTCTGTACCTTAAACGTATCATTTAATTTAAAGCTAAAATCTTCCGTTTAACTTTATTAAAGCTTTAATCCTTTTACCATCGTTATTACTATAACCCCAGCCTTAAAGTTAGCGATAAGGATAGCGCATTAATGCTGTCAAATGTAAACCCCAAGACCGTTCCTTAGGAATGTATCATTAATGTGTACAACGTGTAAAATGTTCAAAATAAGTTAAAGTATTTATGTTTTTGCTAGTGAATGTAGAGGATTTACTAGTTGATAGATATATTGTTACTTTTAGTATCTTTGGGCATCTATATTTTATCAATAATTCTGGGCATTAAAAGGGACCGATGTAAATGTGTGAAACATGAAGTCTACTCCAAATGTATGTAACCTTTGGCACACCAGGTATTGCGGACTAGATCTCCACTGATGCTCGGAGATCATTTAGAAAATTGGGCAGACTAGATGGGCCGAATGGTTCTTATCTGCTGTCACATTCACATTCTATGAGATGTATTCTTCAATGCCTGGCGTGCCGAAGGTTAATTACCCCTGGTCTAGCCGAATATTCTTTAATGATTTGTTAAACTATCAAAACTCTGTTACACTCTTCCAACTGTTTTGTTGTTTACATAGAAAAGAGAAATTAAATGTAATACTTTGGTGCATAAAGGGTTAAATAGGGGACAGAGGTAAAACTGAAAACTCTAGCCCATATATGTAGGTAGCGTGCAGCACTTCTTATTTTGTGAACTACACCATCCATAATGCTCTTACAGCTGTAATGCTGGCAAAGCATCAGAAAAGATCTCGTCCACGACATCGGGAGTGCTGAAGGTTAACGACCCCTGCTCTAGCCCTTTTTTTGAAAGCATCTATGTAGTGTAGCATAAAAGAGAACTAGTGGTTGCAAGTTGTCTCACTGCTCAATTCTCTGCTATTTAGGAGTTAAATCACTTTGTTTATGCAGCCCAAGGTACACCTCCTGGACTTGCCCAGACTGTATGTGACTTGCCCAGCCTTCCAAAACACTTTCTGTAAAGAGGCATCTAATGTTTACACTTCCATTATTTCAAATTCTGCTTAATTTAGAATTTTGTATCTCCTGCTCTGTTAATAACTTGCAAAACCCTGCAGGAGTTTACAGTATGTAATTAAAGTTTAATTTACAGAGCAGGAGATAAAAACTTCTTAAGTAAGTTAACATCTGACTAAAATGAAACCATTTTTTTTTCATGTAGACTTTGTGAGTTACAGTTAGGGGAGGTGTGGCTAGGGCTGCATAAGCAGAAACAAAAGTGATTTAACGCCTAAATGGCAGAGAATTGAGCAGTGAAATTGCAGGGGAATGATCTATACACTAAAACTGCTTTATTTAGCTAAAGTTGTTTTGGTGACTATAGGGTCCCTTTAAGCACACTTTGTGTAGGACGGCATAGAATGCACTAACTGCGTTAAGGTTGTGGACATTAGGCAATGAAGTTTGTGCAGATGGATGAGTCGTACCTGGCAGTTCCTTTTGCTAGGAGGACATAATATCGTGCTTGTAATTAAACATTGCTGTATGTCATTATTGTTGTTGTTACCTTTCAGGCTGCGGACTCAGTAGGGGAAATTCTATTATCTCTTAGTTACCTTCCGACCGCTGAACGCCTTACTGTCGTGGTGGTTAAAGCAAAAAACTTGATATGGACAGAAGGAAAGGTCACAGCAGGTAATATTTCATTGCTGAACAATTGTCACCTACAATCCTGAGTGTGACACAGAGAGGCAACCTTCGGCACTCCAGATATTGTGGATTAAGTCTTACCAGGTGCTATGCCAGTATCATGACTGTGAAAGCATTATGGGAAATGTAGTTCACAACATCTAGAGACCCAAAGGTCGCCTTACCCTTGCTCTAGGGTGAACCTAGGGTGAAACCCAAGTTCGAATCCTTGTCAGACCACCTTACCAATACGTTTCCCTGGGCAAGACACCTAACAATATATTTCTGCCTACCTCAAATCCTTGTAGATTGTAAGCTCCTTTAGGCAAGACCTTCTTCAACTCCGTAACTGTAAAGCTATATAAATGCCAATATTAATAATAAATCCAACCTCAGCTTCGCTGAGCTCGCTGTGTGTTCTATTAGGGTATTTATGCAGAATTTAGCTTATTATACTAAAATAATCAATTCCAACGTTTAAATTTAAAGGAAAACTGTATGCTCATAACCACTATAGCGAGCTCTATGGGCTACTAAAAAGTGACCTGGCTTCACAGTTTAGGATCACGTCTATAATAGCCTTTCATTTTTGCACTATCCCCTGATCCTTATAAAAAGACGTTCACCTTTGCAAACAATGAAATTAGTGTTATTAAGAGGTTAGAACTAGTTTAGCAAACTCTCTTTGTTGTGGACATTAAATGATATCAATACTGGCCCTTACGAGATGCACATTGGGAGGACTTGATTCACTATTAATAAACAAACAATACTCGATTTGAATCTCCCACATGCAGATGTTACTGTCTACAATAGTAAAATAGGTTTTCAAATGACTGAATAATTTCAGGTACAGTTTGTTTGGCATTGTAACACCTCGGTTAGCTGTGTTTTCTTCACGGATATCAGTGAGTGCATGTCGTGTTTAGGAAGATCCCTCGATACATGCAGAAGAAAGTAGGCTGTAAAAATTGCCGTTACAGCAAAATGAATATTTCATTACTCCGGGAAAATGCTTGCTTTATAACAAAACATTGCTACACAGGATTGTTTGTAGTGTTCCCACCGTCTAATTCTTTGTTTATTAGAAATATCGTTACAGGAGAATTCTTGAAAAGCTATGATTTAATATAGTAAGACATATCTAAAATATAACAATATGGTTAAAAAGAAAAATAATATATCCAAGAAATGGAAAGTATAATTCCATTTTGATTGAACACATTAAATTAAAAAAATCAGTGGAAAATCTGCACAGTCTGACAGACTGTGTTTTGCTAGTGATTACATTTTGTCTATATCCGCCACCAGCAAAGCACATTAAATTATACCAAGTCTGCGGTATGAGCTGCCTCTTTGTTAGTCTCAGCCAATCCTATGTGGAAGCACTGTGATTGGATCAGGCTATCACTTCTGTGGATGTCAGGAGGCAGTGGGAAGGTCTAAAGGAAACAGGGACAACGCATGCAGCTGCAGACTTGAATACAAGTAGGATTTTACTATTTTTACGGAGGCATGAGGGGACCAGGGGGGCTAGATGGTGGTTTGAACCCATGTTTGTATAGTGACCCTATAATGCTCCTTTAATTAGTGTCTACTGTTAACGAGCAGTTGACAAATAGCCGCACAGTTACCCAACTTGTTGGTACTCATTGTATTAACCTCAGAAGAATAAAACTGTTATTGTCCTGCTAGGAAATGAATGTCATCTTATCTCTCCTGCCAGCAGTCTTCTGTCAACTGCCCCTTTTAATTGAAAGAATAAAGGCCACGAGAGTATAATGTACCGATTTTATGAGTGAACTGACAGAGAGAGGGGTGCACCTGTTCCTGATTCACTACCTGTGCTGGTAAAAGGATGATACCAGATATGCCACTGCTCTGAAAGTTGCAACATTGAATGAAATATTGACAATCAGCTGTAAGCCATGTTAACCATCATGTGATACTCGGTTTTCATTTCAAATATTTATTAAAGAGTTCGCAAGTGACGTCACAATTCAGTTAGGTGCCAGCACAGCCAGGACACACAATGCGAAGGGGGAGAACAGAAAAATTATTCCATTATGGCCATTGTCAGAAAAGACAAAATTTAGAGCCATGATTAATAGGGAGTTAGATGGAGCCACTGGTTCCAGAAACATTTATATTCCTTTTTTCCTCAAAAAACACATATTTGTGAAATATAGAGAATATTAAAATCCAGCGAGACAATAGTTCCTTTTTAAGAATGCACAGACCTCGATATTAAACACATGTGGCATTATATCTGTGTGTGTGTTTCTAGAGCGAGAAGATAGTTATTTCTTGTATTTTTCCTTTTCTCATAGACAAGAGAATCCGTTCTCTATTTGAAACTGAAAACCCTGAGTTTATAGTTTTCCCTTTAATTAATACTCCCTTAAAGACTAATCCAGAAACGATAGCAAGCGTGAATAAACTGAGACCATTCTATCCTGGAGATAAAAATCCTTGTTATATTCACAGATCCGTTTGTAAAGGTTTATCTGCTCCAAGATGGGAGAAAGATCAGTAAAAAAAAGACAGCCATGAAGCGTGATGACAGGAACCCTGTTTTTAATGAAGCCATGATATTCTCGGTTCCGGCTATTGTACTGCAGGTGAGTCATCAATTCCGATCTTGTTTCGGAACCTCATCTCTCCACGGATTTGAGGCATAAGTTAGGGAATACGAGCATGTTTTCATCACATTGATGTGAATGAATCATTTGATTAAAAATGTATCTGCACAGAAGTTAAAAATATTTTTTTCTGCTGGGGAAATGCGTCGCCCACCAGTTAACCCGTAAATCGTAACACTGCTAAGAGACTCAGAAATACGCCATTGTACTGAGCCATCGTTTTACGTTACTTCTCTATTAATCCCACCACTGCAGGAGGTTCAATCATTATCACAGTGGCAAACGGTTCTATCCTGAGAATGAGACTCCGTGGCAGAGTGAGAGGAGTAACATTTTTGAGGATAGATTATTTGTTCTATCTGTGCATGGTACATGAAAGTGATGTTTGAGTGTACAAACATGTGTGCGTATTGTGACGCACTTACCTGTACCTATTCAAAAGGGCTAAATGTAGCTATTAGTAAGGGGGTGTGATGCAGCCTTTGTAGCAGTTACTACACGCTATATTGCTGCATGTGATGGCTTTCAGTAATTTTATATTCGAGCTGTGGATGCACAAATAGCTACGCAGAAAAGCAGAGACAGTTACAGCTTGTTTTAGAAGTCAATATATTTTATTGCGCTGGTAAAACTCCGATAACAAGACAGGGTGTAGAATACTTGAGCTAATCTCAACCAGATATTTTTTGTGTCTTGTAACTATGTATGTCAGAAGAATGACAAAGGAGACAAGCTGAAGCAGACACGTGGCACTTAATCATAGTACTCTCTGTGCACTATTGTTAACCCACTACAATGAAATTTGTATTGTCCCCTGGTATGTTGTCATTGTAGACTGCCTTCTGCATATATCCCATTGACATGCTAATACATTAGCTCAGTTCTTTTTCTGTCATTTATATCAATTTCACTTTTTTGGGGGGATCCAGATTTGTTTCCTCACTGGATTAATGATGACCGTTGACTTAATTTGTAGGAAGAGCACAAACAAATGGGTAGGACCCATAATAGAATACTGCTTTATTTCAATTCCATTGAGTGGGGATGAACAGACAAAACGTGTCTGCAAAAATAAAACTTGCAATGTTATTTTCAATTCCCATTTTGAATAAACCCATGCATATTTTTATATATTACACAAATCAATCTAGCAAACCGATAGGGAAACGGACTTGTAGGGACATTAACTAATGTTAGTTTTACTTAGCATTTGAAATTCCCTGGTCAATCAGAACAATTTGTGTTATAATGAATAACCCTCTTAATAGATTGTGTGTTTTGTGAAATTTAATTTTGAAGAATCATGGTAACTGAATAATTTGAATATTTTCGTTACTTTTTTTAATTAGAGAAAGCATATAATTTATTTAATAGATTCTCCCATGTATGAACTATTCCCTTGAACGATAATTCAGTTACAAGTAGTTCTATTCCGTTATTTGCCTGCATTCCTAACTGACACATTTTATGCTTTGCAGGAACAGGTGCAGTACAATACGCAGCACTGGTTTCCTTATCAAGAGGAAATTAGGACGGTTCTAATATTATCACCAAGATATTGGCCGCAATTTTATATTTTTTTAAAGGCCTCAATTTAATATTTCTGGATACATTTTCAAATAATTTTGTACTTTTAAATAAGCTTTTGAAATTATTTTATGGTTTAAAAAATACTTTAATAGGTTTTGATGTACGAATATATTTTTATATATGATATTTTTTTTTTAAATATTTTGAAATAATAATTTTAAAAGGTTATCAAAAAAATATTAGGTTATTTGAAAAGCTTTTTCAAAAATATGAAATCAAGGCCATAATAGGTAGAGAGAACACAAACTTTAATCACATTTTTTTGTTGTTAAAAAAGTAGTATTTTAGGGGTCTCTGTTCCTGTTCATTGATCTCTAGGTAACTGGCCACGGTAAACCAATTTAATGTAGCAGGTCTTTCTCAGTGCAAGTTTGACTCTCTGACGCAGAAGCTAGGTGAAGTTATTCTGTCGAAGTTTTGTTTAGTTTTCATACATTATTTTAGTTAAGCTAATGCCAATATGTACATAGTTTAAAAATCCAATTAACTCAAATAAACACGATATAAGCAAAGTAAACAATGAACATTACTCATTTAGAGACGGTTTTATCTGCTTGGGCATCATAATTAACATAATTATTCAAAATGATGTGTCCAAATGAACAAAATAAAGCTGGCAAGCCAATTGCCTGATTTATTTTAATTTCTTAAATTGAAATCAGTTTGTAAAAATATTTTCTATAGTACACAATTCATGTTTTATGGATGTACCCTAATTTTCCACCAATGTGTTGGATTGACAAGTATAAATAATTTATTGACGCATATGTATATGTTGTGTTCCATACTGTATGACTGTAAAATAGACATAAGCAGTTGGTGGTTCTTCAGCAAATACGAAGTCCACCTAAACAAGGATTAGAGTAGTCCATGGGAGCCAGCATTTCCTTGTACCAATCTAGAACCTACAGCAAAGTAGATGTAGCACCAACTGTAGAGAAAGTGTCTGTTTAGTACCCGCTACAAAATACTTTTCATTGCTGTCAGTTCATGCAGGTGACCAAAGGCCAATAACATGGCTGCACTAGTCTCCAACCTTGAAATGATTCCTAGATTTACAGAAGCAATGCTTATAATCTGCACAGGTGTCAGAATAATCGAGTCACTATATAGGTAGAAGGATGCAAGACCCCAATTTGTTTCTAAGTGGTCTCACCTTGTCATAAACCGGTTACGTTAAACCGTTAAGTACTTTGGGTATTAAAGTTAATAAGTGATTATTAAAAAATTACAAAGATGTAAACACCCACAAATTTCCTTTACACTGGAGCTAAAATTAGAATTATGAAAATATATTCATTCTGCTATTACGTATTGCAAAGCGGAAGTCAGAGATGTTACAATAACCAACATACTGTGAGGATTTATATATGGACTCAATGAAATTTAAGCACCTGTTTGAAACTAAAATAGCATGGGACTAAATTTGGGGTCTGGATCGAGGATTAAGAACCACTGCATTCAGAATAAATGTGAAACAGGGCAGCTCAACCTGGAGACTCATCAAGGTGATTACAACTTTGGAATCATGTGAATTGAATGGTAAAACTTCATGGTAACCTCTCTGGATCAAATGAGTCTTCATAGACTTCCAAGGTAAAACTCTCTAGACAGCTTGGGAGAAATAGCCGAGATTCTATTTGGAGTTTGAATGCTTAGGAGTTTGGGTTCCAGAAAACAAGGCAATTACTAAATCCAACATCAGAACTGGCTTCAAACTGTTGTCCTGTAATTGTAAGTCATGATTACTGAGCAAGAATGTTTCATTTATGTGTTTATTAACCATTTCTATCCAATTGTGTTGTAGGAGTTATCTTTGAGGGTTACTGTAGCAGAATTCTGTGATGATGGTAGGACGGAGAACATTGGACATGTTATTATTGGTCCTGCTGCAACTGGAATGGGCATGACTCACTGGAACCAAATGCTTGCGACTCTGAGGAAGCCGGTGTCCATGTGGCACCAAGTCAGAAGGAATTAGAGCACCTGTGTGGAGTTTGTTTTTCCAAAATGCCATTAACAGGAAAGGAAAACAAGATTGAGTATTAACACACCCTATTAATGCTTAGCGCATGGGCCACAACTCAGTCTTGAAGAGCAGTACTCCTGCTAGAGGTGTATGATTTATATAAATTTTATGTATTATTACAAACAATTCCCACTGAGAATCACTGAGCCTTGCGTTATACAATATATCACACGGAGAGCCTTGAGTAGTTATGACCTTGGAGAAATGGAGTGAGGATTGAGACTCCTGTCTTAGCAGGTATTAATAAGGATCATGCACTATTTTGTGTATGCATATGTACATATATATATTTTGCATGGAGCTTAAACATTCCTTTAAAAAAAAACTAACACTTCGAGAAGGCTAAATACTGTATGGTAATGATTTTATTTTTAAAAATAATAATCTTGCTCTATAAAATAAAATGATAAAAATACCCTAACGGTAATAGAAAAAAAGATACACTAATATACAAATATATACAGAATGGCAGCTTGCTATTTTCTGCTCGCTATTTTGAATGCCAATTGACAATACAATGAAAGCTATTTTAGTGAGAACAATGTTTGTAAATTTCTATATTTCTTGAATAAAAACACTTATAGGTATAATATTCATACAAATAAAGTCATATACTAACCGAGATAAATGTATTAGTAGCAGCAACACTGTTTGGAAACCACGCATTTTAAAAGCATGGCATTTTTAAAGCTTCATTTTCAATACAAGGAAAAGCAGAAAATGTGACATGTATTAGCAAGATATACGGACAAAAAAACCCAAACCAACCTCTCCAACGCACTGTAGTGGTTAAGGTAACACATAGTACCCATGCACCCCATCTATTGTAAGCAGCCAGAAAGATTTTGAATGCTTGGATAGTGCAGTTTCCAGCCTCCACTTCCACCGGAGAGTCGGATGTTCCTAAGCAGAAACTTCCGTTAGCTCACCTGAGCTAACTCATACAACGCAAGTCTTAGCTCATTGGCTGAGAGCGTCAGCTGATCTCTGCTTAGGAACTGTTGGCTCTCTGGAGATGGTAGCGGTGATAGGGCACCACCGGCTGTAGTGGTTATGGTGCTTAGATTACTCCTTTAAACCTTATTTCACCTTGGAGGGAATTGATTCAAGAAGATTGATCACAATTTTGGACAGGCTGTATGTAATGCTTCAAATATGTACCAAGATCTTTGCAGACATGTTTTCTGTTTACAGTTAGAACTGCACACTTCTGTAAGCTTTTTCTAGCTCCATGCGAAGCTCTGAGCCAAATTCCCATCAGAGTCATTTTATTTGATTTTTTTTTTTACTTGGAAGGCTAGTTGTAAGAATGTCTGTCTAATACATTTCATGACTTTCAGAACATGCTAAGAGCTGGGGCTTTGTGGCTAGCATTGCAAATACTGAAGCAGAGAAATATTCTGATGCCGAAATTCTCCAGGAAGAAAGGGAAATCCTTTGCCAGATCCATCCTGTTTTCCTAGACACATGAATATTGATTGGAAGCATTTGCAAAGGTTTGCCCTGCTCGATGAAGGAGCCAAATCTTGCAGGCAATAAATCAAGTCATTTACTGAGGTGACAATACAATTAATTAATTTGGCTCTTGCACCACAGAGTTAGAGACATTGAATGGTTACTCTTTGTGGACCAATAATTATTTCATCAATGACTATAAAGATTCTTTATAAAAAAAAAATGGAATATCCCACTCAACCTGCCAGGAGAAAGTATAGACCCGACAATGCTGAATATTAGCACCAGAAATGTATTTTTAATATTATAATTATCCTTGCAGCATGTAATGAAAAGATATACTTAATTTAAAAATACTGGAAAATCTGGCCCCTTCTTTCACAGAACACCAGATCCCTCTGCCTTATTCATACACCTTCGGTCAGACAGAGGTAGAATCTGACTGCTAGGCTCCTGCTTCACTCCCTGCACAGAGAGAGATCGGTGATGTCCCCAGATAGACCCCTAGCGGCAATCTCACTGTTGGGGGTCTTCACAAAATTTGCAAAGTCGCCAGACAGTAACAGTGTCACTTTAATTATTGTAACACTATTTTTAAAAAATTAGTGACACTTTATTCTTAATAGTATTTCATACAATGCCATTTTAATGCTAAAAATACATAGGTCAAAATAGCAGAGCCACAAAAATTAGGCCGAATGGACTACTTCGGTCTTATGTTTCCAAACAGTTAGCAATTCATATAAAGTCTGTACACACTAGAGGACTCAGGAGGTGACATTTTCTTATGGAAACATTTCATACTGCCTAAAAGAAAGGAAAATAAAATCTATCAGGCTGTGATGCGAATTGTGGAACCTAAAAACTAAACTAAAAATACTATAAAAATTGCTTTGCTTTTCCTTCAAGGAATATTTAAAAAAAAAGATATCATCAGTTATTTAAACATTCACAATAATTTGAAGGGTCAGTCCAATCAAAATAACGGCTATAAACCAGTGTAGTGGTTATGGTTCCAGGAGTGCCCGGTTGACCCTTCCTCCAATCTAAGGAGTCAAGGAGTTTAGATTGCTTTGACTTCTCACATTGGATCGGCCTTGCAATGCCTCCTCTTTGGTGGAAGCACTCAGCTTTGGGATAAGCCCGGCGGTGCTGGACCTAGCTCGTTGGCCGAGATTGATCAGCCAATGAGCTGGCCTTGCACTTGCAGAAATTCCTAAGCAGGAGCTTCCGGTTCTCCTAAAAGGTAGAGAGGAGGTAAGAAGTCAAACCATTAATAAACTGTTTTACTAATTACACTGGAAATGCAGAAACCATAACCAGGCTTTCAAACTGTCCCGATTTCAGTGGGACAGTCTCGTCCCAACTTTGTTCCTGGTGACCTGCTTTTGGAAAGTCAGGGAACAAAGTTGGGACTGGACCATAAAATACGGGACGCCGATGTTGGGGCGTATGCCATAACCACTACAGTGCATCGTAATAGTTAAACTTTACTATCTAGTCTGTAAACACGTCACTTTGTGTGTGGGAGGCTCATCCTAACGACTACCACAATTAACTGCTTGATTAATTAGCCTCTACAGACTGATTGAATGAGATCATACCACCTGCTTATACAAATAATCCTCAATGTGTAGAAAACTCCTACAAGATCCATACTAAAAATACATATTTTGATGAGATCAGAGACAAATATATTTTTTTATAATTTAACTTGCAGTATTTCAAACACAAGAGATATCATGAAATTATATCACAAATAAAAAATGCAGAATACCACATGAATAATACTAACCATCTATTAAAATAACACACGTAAAGCTGTGTCTGGAGTCTGTCACATTTGTGACCGTTAATAAAAGTATCTAATGAAAACATATGCAAATAAATGCATGCATATTTTTAATTGGGCATATGAAATATATAGTGATTTTTATTTATTTTGTGCAATGGTACACTCAATTCTCACAAGTAGATTTCTGTCATATAGGGTATAATAAAAAATTCTGCAATTTTATCAAATTGGGGCAGTCAAATAGTCTTTTAATAAAACAAACAAAAAAAGTAATCGTTAATACAATGAAAAGACTATGTCTGTAGAGATGCAAATTAGAACACTCTGTTCTCATGGATTATGGGACAAAAGTTTCCTAGAATAAGATTTACAACCTTATGTAACGTCTGCAGCTGGAATTGTAACCCTTAGTCTAATCCCCCGGTACATATTGCAGACCAGTCTGCCTTTTTATTGAACGTTTTAACATTCTCTCTCACAGCAAATGCTTTGTTATATTACATATGTGCTTTCACCAAGACAACTTGACCGTCAACAGGCATGGCTCCAAAAAACTTGGGCAATGGGAATAAAATATTTTTTTAATTATGTGCCAATCATTAATATGCCAAATAAGTTTACTGGCTGTACCTAGTAAATTGGTTGCACTTCTCTACAAGACTTGTGTCAATGTCAGAGAGCCATCCTATGTACAGCAGGTAAAGGCTGTCGCAAGAACTCCCCCAGAGCATTATGGGAGATCGCCCATGTCTTGTCTAGCATTGTATACTTCCCTGACAGCTATATGGTCATAATTCTGATTATCGGAGTATATTTACTATGTATTCCTCTCGATTCAGTTATTCCAAAAAAGTATTTTCACTGTAAAGAAGTATACAATGATTTTGGATTTTTTTTTCAAAGAAAAGGAAAAAAAGTGAAAAAAATATATTTTCCATATGATTACTATAAATAAATGGTTTTGATATTGCTTGTAATATAAATAGCAATTGTTTACTGAATTTGATCCAATGATTACCTTTAACAACTAAGATCTTTGGTGATGTACGATTTATGAATAAATGCAATAATATTGTAACAGAAAATGTGAAATAATCATCAATTTTATTGTAATCGAAGACGGTACACAGGCTTTCGTGCTTTCTTAATTTTTTTTTGCTAAGCTTACTTTATGAAAATATGTACATTTTTGAAATTTTAATAAAATCTATTAAAAAATATATAATTATAAAAAAAAAAAAAAAAAAACCTGTGTGTCATTATAGACTGCTATTAACTTAAATTAATTAATACTACAATGATTCAAAAGGCCATTGGATTATCCGTGTTGGATTATGGCATAAACAGACTGGGGGAAAATGTTATTCATTTACAAAAATATATTTTGTTGCAAGATAATAATTTTTATACTCATTCTAAAACTATCGTAAAAAAATACTTGATCTGATATGAGATTGTATATAGTAAATTACATAACTGCAAAAAAAAAAAAGTGATCAACGTATTCAAAAAAAATTGTTCAATATAATTATTGTAACACCAGTACAAACATGTACAGATAACAAAGAAGTAAAATCACACCTGACCAGAAAAACATTTTCTCTGCATATCAGCCGTTACTTGCAGTTCTGTTGGACCTATTCCATAGATTCTGTTAACTCTCCTCGGCTAAATCTTGCCATGTAGGGCTAACTCACTCACTGAGAGGGTCATAATGTAGGCGACTGATAACTATTTGACAATTTACCTGGAATCCGTTGCGCACCAAACACTCCTGTAATCTCACCACTATAGTACGCTGTAATACTTCTGGTTTTTAAATATTCATTTAAAGGAGGACAAAGCAGCTACTCATGTGTATGACTTTTTAGATCAGTCTCAGAACGATACGTATTGAGAGAGGCTGACACACATACATAGTATCCCTTACTGAATCCATACTTGGTTTGGACTAGTGTTTAGCTTAGAGGGAGGTTCACTGCTTGGATGATAGGGTGCCAGTTCAACTTGTTTTTGCAAGATATTTATTGTTCCAACATTCTGCTGGCCAGGACTTGTGAGCACTACATGAGCTACTGATGAGAAATGATTGATGTGATTACTTATTTGATTTCACATCCAGGACTCATAATTACACATTCTGATCCTGAACACAATACAATTACCGGTATGTGATCGATAGCATTTAGAATTCTAATCAGTATGGCATGAATGCTAGCAATGCTATAACAAGCTTAGAAAAAAATACAGAAGAGTTTTCGGTTTGGCATCACGACAAGAGGAGATTTAGACCATTTTGTACACAGAACAAAAAAAAGTAAAACAATAAAATGACACACTTTAGCTGTAATACTGAAATATAACTGATAGAGCCAACATGATTATTATTATTATTTATATAGCGCCAGCAAATTCCATAGCGCTGTACAATGATAATAGAATACACAATAGCAAACATGGCTGCCAGTGAGTAAATTCATTAGAGAATCATTAAGTCCATGTGAAGAGCCTTTTCTTTCATGTTCTGAATCTTAATCTAAAAAGGTATATTTCCCTGAACCTACATTTGGGGGCACATAATGACTTTTAATTTGTTTTTTACATCTTACTTATTGTATTATTATGGCTGTCAGGATGGTATAATCCTTAATTGAAATGTTGACCAATGCAACTGGCACTGCTAATCAGAAAGCGAGAACTTGCATAGCAAAACAAAGCTGATTTGGGGAAATCTGGCTTAGCTGTTGGGGAGTCCGGCTTGGCTGTAGACAATGCTTGCTGGCTGGCTGGATATTTTAGCTCAATGTTTGCGAAGTGGTTTCACACTCGCCATTATTTGCTTTTGAGTTGATAAACCCTCAAGTACTAGAAAAGTGTGGATGCACTAGGACGCATAAGAAATTAAAATGTGATCAACACACCCCTTAAACCTGTGATGCTATTTAAAAATGAGATCTATTTACAATTTAGAATCAACCTGGATTCACAATATGAGAAAGTTTATGTAAACAGTTAAACATATAGGTTAGAAAATAGATTGACTAAAGATTGGTAGCGTTAAAAAAAACATGGCTAAATCTATCAGTCTTTGTTGGTATTTCAGTTTTAAAGTAAATTTATAAAAAACAAACAAAAAAAAACAATATAAATGTAATTTAATAAAAAGGTGTTGATAGCCTCTGGTAAACACACCCTTTGAGCTAGATTAAGCGAAACATTTGGGGATGTTGACAATTATAAACAAATTACTTATGTATTTTAAAAATGACAAACAATTGGCAGTTTGTTTTGCTAAAGAATACAATTTCTAGAAATTTATATAAGCCAACAAAAAAAATATTATAAAATAGAATAACATTTGTAATCTCAGCCAAGGAGTATATAAAAAGAACAACAGGGCTGTGACAGACTACAGGGAAGTAAGAAATGATAACTCACCTGACGCATTTCGCATGTAGTAGTGTTTAACTTATATAAGGGACTTAGTAGAAATGATGAGTTTCATGACAACCGTTTCCTGTCATGACATAAGATCAACCTGAAACAGCAGACTATAATTCAATGACAGGGTTTTGAAATTCCTCATATTTGTGAAAGAGAGGTTTTTTTTTCCCCCTCTGCACCGGACTATTTAATTCTCTGTGAAAGAACATATTCAGGAAAACAAATATTCTCATCAATGAAAGCAGTACTTAGTTTAATTTCCATCCACATGACACACATCTGATTTGAATATTTATTATATATTCAATTTTCCTTCTTTTTTATTTTCCTTTGATTTGTTAAGTCATTGATTTTCTTTTCTAATTTCCGATGTAAATGAACTTTTTTGGTTGGATCCAAAGAGTGGTCTTTTTGTCCACTTCCTGCGTAAAGAACACCTTCTCTGCTAATCCTTGTTCGGGCATTGGCCTTTGCTCTCTCACCACATCCATGAACCTGGAAGACATTTTATAATCATTAGATAACAGAGATCCTTAAAAACGTTAACGCCTAAAGACAAAATAAAGACAAAATAAGTGGCTTCCATTGTATATACGGTACACAATTTTACTTCTGGCAATGTGTGAATTACTAATGGGATTTGTAGCCACCAAACCCATATTATTCAAGGCGTTAAGATTTGTAATTTCAAATTTACAAAAATGGATGACTGGTTTCGTCTATGAGAGACACAGCAACAAGCAATTAATTTATTTTAGACAAAATCATTTTTCAAAGTATCATCTTGAACAAATGTATTATCTTTAAGTTGCGTAGCTCTGATTCAGCAACACTACGAATAAAGAATACAATGACACAAACAGAAAAAGGCTCACCTGCAGTGTCTAAAATTTGTACAGAAGCATCTCGTGAAATATGTCAAAGATTGTGTTTGTTAGAACCAAGGAAACAAAAAAAAAAACCCATAAACAAAACAAAAAAACAACAACACATCTAGTCCACCATAATTGTGTTTTTGATGAATTAATATAGCCAGCTCGTTTTGTTTTTCAGATTTCTGTTGTGAAATTCAGTTTCGATAAGAAAACCTTTCATTTGGAAATAATAATAATAATAATAATAATAATAATAATAATAATGCATTTTTCCTACTCATTACTGAAGTGACTCCAAATAACTGTACAACGCAACATGAAGATACCTCGCAAGCTAATATTGTCCAAGAAGTCACACGATAGATTTGCCAATTCATGGCTGTATAATCACCAATAAGATCAGTTAATAAACATGTTCGTATGTCTCAGGCATACAGTTTAGAAGCTCTGCCAAAGGCTACCTAATACTTAATATATGTACCATATCGTTTCTGGTGATTCTGTAACTTTATTTAGGAGGGGAAACCAAGAGGGTATGTAAAAACTAATAGACAGTAAGTGTTACGTGGTTATGTCCTAAGACGCAGAGTCTAGGATAACAATAGCAGACAAGATCGAACAGATTAGTACTGGGCCTTAGAGAAATCATAGTCAAATACACGCCTAGGTCAGGTTAATGGAGAAACAGACTAATTGTGAAACTTGCCATAGGAAAACGGAATACTAGAAGAACGTAAAACCTAGTCAGGTAAGGGAAGCAGAAATAATCAGAGCCAAGGTCAGTACTAGAGAAATCAAACCAAGGTCAGTACTAGAGAAATCAGATAGGTATGAACTAAACAGGTACTAGGAACAGAAACCACGATAGTGTCAGGATTCCTCCATATGGTCTCCGAACTCCTCCATGTTGAATTCATCTCGATCGGCATTACCTGCATGACTTCTGGGTTTCGCCGATCAGTCTCCGCCCATGCTTCTGACGTCACACGCTTCCAGATGGAAGCCGCGACCGCATCTAAAGTGCTCAATCAATCTTTGTGGTTTGATGTGCTCTTGTTACTTGCTACTTGCTACATTGTTGCCGCTTCGCTACAGAACTCAGCTAACCTGATTTCCTGTGTACCGAACCTCTGGCTTTGATCCTGGGTTCGCTCTACTCCACTCTCCCTCTCAAGGAACAGACTTAACTTCAGATTCCTGCCTCTCTTCACTTCCTTCAGGAAACCATATTTCATTCCACTCTGGAAAGGACTTCAACTCCCATCATTCATGAAAGGAAAAATAAGTTCTCCAGTGATTGCAATTATTAATTGGTTCTTACCATAAGTTATAGGAGAAGGATAAGGAATACTAAAGTCTGCCTTCTGGGATTCTCCTTGCTATCTCTTTTGAATGTCATTTGCAAAATTACTCAAATGTTAAAGGACCACTATAGTGCCAGGAAAACAAACTCATTTTCCAGGCACTTTAGGGTCATTAGGTCCCCCCCACCCTCAGGGCCCCCCTCCCAGTGGGCTGAAGGGATTAAAACACTTAATTTTCTCCAGCGCCGGGCTCCCTCTGTGCTGTGGAACTCTCCACTCCCTGCAAGAGCCGCACGCGCATTGAAACCGCCCATAGAAAAAAGCGTTACTCAATGCTTTCCTATGGACGTCCAGCGTCGTCTCACTCTGATTTTCACAGTGAGAATCATGGAAGCATCTTTAGCGGCTGTAAATGAGACAGCCACTAGAGGCTGGATTAACCCTCAGTGAAACATAGCAGTTTCTCTGAAACTATGTTTTCAGCTGCAGGGTTAAAACTAGAGGGACCTGGCACCCAGAGCACTTAATTGAGCTGAAGTGGTCTGGGTGCCTATAGTGGTCCTTTAATTATTATTCTTTTAACTACACCACTTCTCATACCAGGACATATTTCGTTATCAAGTTTATTTCTTCAAGTTAAAAGACTTACTTTGTACTACATGAATCACCTGCTCTGTCAACTTTATATTGAAGTTTAATGGACTATTCTGCTTGTTGCTAATTAAGCATTCCTTATTTTCATTTGCAACCAATTACTATTTTTCTTGTGAAGTTATACTTAACCAAGATTCCCATTCTTCATGCATTATTGCTGCAGAAGACTGCAAGGTTAAAGTTCTTTATTGAAATAAAATATATTTTATTAAAAGTGACAGTATCCAATTGTTTTTTTCACCTGCGGTTGAGTTCCAAATAATTTTCTCACGAGAGTATTACAGAAAGAACACTGTAAATTGGGCCCCCCAAAAAACTTAAATACGGTTAGGTGTCATTTGATTACTCCACGTCACATCTGCGACCCCAAAATGTCTGAATGCCAAAATGGGAATGCCGTATCGACACTGACGACTAAGAACCGTAAATGACACGGCGCCCCTTGTGCGTCTCTAAGAAGACGCTCCGAATGTGAGCAGTGTTTATATATCGGCCCTTGCGTGGACATCGGATTGCCACGCCGACCACGTAAGTAATGCTAAAGTTAGTTGTATTGACAGCC